CTAAGGTGAATAGGTGTTGATTTATAGTTATATTGTTGGCCCATTTGGTAAGGCTTTACTATTTCTAAAAAAAAAAAAAAATCATTTTGGAAAAATATTTTACAAAACTTTTCATTTAAAAAATCGAACTGTTTCATAAATCTTTTGGATTCAAATTTGTACAATAATTCAAAATTCGATCAAGACTTGCCATGATGATATGATATGTGGCATAAATTACAAATTTTAATTAATGATAGATGGGGTAATAATAAAATAATAACTTTGTCAATCCATATAGATCTAGAATATACATATATATCTCAAGATATATACATAAGAGTGCTTAACATTTATTAGTCAAATAATATTGTTGAATACCCTTTAAAAGGATATAGTCAGACCTAGATATTCACAAACAATTTATGCTTAAATACAAATATAATTCGTACGAAAAATTCGTATATCTTTCGGGCAGTTTAACATGCCGAGCGTTCACTGTACTGCACTCTACGCTGATGTGTTGTCCACTCCTTAGACTTAGTCTCTCTCTTAATCTGCATTGCTGAAGTAGTCTTAATGCACCTTTGCAGGTGGCTCCGAGTTCTACATCTGAGACGAATTTCTAGGCAACTGGCTAGTTCTTAATTTCATCTAAGACACACACACAAACACTTCCACACACACACACGCACTCACACCTAAATAAATGTATTAGCAACTATTCAATGCTTCAGCCAGGTGGTAAAATTAATATTGCTGGGCCTCGACTTGCGCTCGATGGTGATTGTCTCATCGTCTATGTTGTCCACATTGTAGAATTCGCGCAGCTCCGCAATGGCCGTCTCCTCGATCTGGGTGTGCACGAGCGATTTGTTGCGCATGCGCTCGTAGGTGTCGCGCTGACGACGCTCATCGGCCAGGATCTGTGAGAAGCTGTTGCCGGCCTCTGGCGGACTAGCTACCTGTCCGCCACGCATCATATTGGCAAAGGACGTGGGATCTGCACTGCTGCCCGTGGGAGCAGCTGCTGGAGAGCTGAAGGGCTCGGCATATGATGAATTCGGCGAGCTGGCCGTCACGCCCCAAGCATTGGGCACAGCCACAGGCGTGGAGCTATTCAACTCCACTGGTGCCCGCCAGCTCTGCGACTCGGAGCAGAGACGTTTGCGTTGCTTCTGCGACAGCTTAGCCGATTGCGGCATTAAGGAACTTAAGTCCAGGTTGTAGCTCTTGCTCAAGGGCGTGCTGCACTCGGCTGAACTGTTAACGCACTGCGGTGGGGGCGTTGCTTCCTTTGTAGACATGGCACGTGGCGATATGGGCACAAGCTCCGGCGTAGGCTGCACCTCCTGCTTGAGCACATTGTTGACCTTGACCGCTGTCTCGGCCTGCTTGCGCTTTTGCTCCTTTTTGTCCACCACGCGCGACCAATTTTTAGTCTCATTTGGCGCTGACTCGGGAGAGGTTATTGTGGCTGTTGCTTGTGCTGGTCCAGCTGTTTTACTTAGCCTCAGCGAACGCATCATGCTGGATATGGCCTGCTGTTCATAATGACGTGCATCCTGCTTGTTGTGCAGCTCCTTTTGCTTTTGCTTCGTAGCTTCCTTTAGCTTGGCCTCCTAAGGAATATAAAGAGTTTAGCTTAGTTAAAGGTTTAATTGAGTATTACAAAATGTATTAAACGAACCGCATCCATTCGATAATCCAGATCGACTTCACAGCCATCCACAAAGCTGAGCAGCAGCTCATCCTCAATCGCTTCGGAAAACGGCGTGATCTGTCTATAATCGAAGACCGACTGAAACATCCTTCGGTAGTGATCATTGAGACGTTGCAGCGTATTCGGTTCGCACTGCTCGATGCTGCGATAGCACAGCACGCGCGCCAGATTCTGGCAGATGAAATCGAGGCAGCCCTGCTGCAGCAGCTTGCAATTGTACATTGTGGCAAATTCGAGCATCTCGCCACACTTCCGAATGCTAATCTTGTCCAGAATCAGGGACTCACAGACATTCTGCAGCGATTCAATGAAGTACTGATCACACAGCGTTATCATATTATATAGAAACGTTTCCGTATAGTTTTGCTTGCAAAACGCCTCCGTATCGAGGCTGTAGAGATAGTCCAGCACTGGCTCCAGATACTCAAAGGGCACGCCATCAAAGTGAACTGTGGTGCGCTCGGCCCACGAGTGCATGAACATCATTTCAAAGTATTCGAGACGGGCCACGAGGATGCATTTGTGAGCTTCTAGGACCTGATTATCCTCGCAGACAATGCGCACATCGTAGAGCTCTGGATATTGCGAGCGCTGGAGACGATGGAAACGTTGCCGAGGTGGCATTGGGAACTGCTGCTCGGTGAGGTAGCTGGAGAATATTCAGGGAATAAATTGAGTTATGAGGTTTGACCCATGCTCACTCACTTGTTGACATATTTGGCCAGCTCATGGAGTTGGAACTTTTCCAGATGGGCATGAAACATTTCACAGACACGGTTGCGTTGAGCAGGTTTGCTTGGACCCAAGCTCTGCTGCATGCAGTCAATATCTGAAAAGAGAAGAAGGGTTAGTAAGACCTGCACTCTGTATTCCTAAGCCTGCTTACCCTCCTCTGTGGGCCAATAGTTTGTGTAGATATGCTTCAGCACCAGCTCAAACATTTTGCCAGTTAAATTCTCAAAATTTAAATAGATATCCTTATCCAAATAATTGCGAATAAGTTCTCTCAAGCCCGGAGCCCGTCCAAAGATGATAAACTTATGCGCCGCATAGCGCTCGCCATCCACATGGAAGACTAAATCATGCACAGCATCCGCTTCGCTCGTGTCATGGTAGAGCTTCTTGAAGCTGTGCTCACGTCGTGGCAAAGCCGGCTTTCGAAAGTATTTCATATGCGATTCCTGCAGCACAGCAAACGAGACGAAGCTCTCGTCACACACAATGTCCACAACACGATCCACATTTGGCACACGCTGCAAATCGATGCGAATGTAATGTTCCCTGGAGATCTCTGTGCGATGCTGATCGTTGTTTTGCCATATATCCAAATTGGGCCTCGATTTCTCTTGGGAGATGGCGGGCAAGACTAGCTGATGGCATTTGCCACGATAAACGCAGCCATCCATGGAGAGCAGCAGCGCCTGATTGCATTTGTACAAGATGCGCTTGATTTGTGGCATGCGAACGGGCGAGAAGACGCATCTGAAAAAGGCAACTTGATTAGCGATTGCGGAGTGGAAGTGGGTTATAATATAATTGCCTGTAGAACTGTTGCGTATTCTCATACCAAAGAAAAACAACGTTCGTTTCGGTTAGCATCAACAGCTTCAGGGCCACAGCAGAGCCCTTGGTGGAGTTCTTTATGTGGCCGCCCATAAGAGAGATGCTCTTTAAATGCTCGTAACTGTGAAGGAGAAGCAGTTAAAGATGATTTAGATATAACATTTTATGTATAGTAGGCAACCTACTTGGGAGTCTTAATGGTCCTAGGCTTGTCCGCATAGAAGAGCAGTATCAACTTCTCCTCGGTGTAGACAACAGTCGCGGCATTGTTTGCCTCCACGAAGCGTATGCAGGTGCGATCCGCTAGCTTTAACTGAAAGGTAAATGAGAATAGTTAGTTAAGCTGAGCAAGTCTCTTGGGAGCACTTACCAGTGTGGGAGCTGCAATGATTTTCGTATTGGCGCTAATGCCAAACTGTCCCTGATTGGCGCCCCAGACATAGACGGCCTTCGCGCTATACGCAATCGAGTGCTGATCGCAGGCGATGACACGCAGGAGCTGACTCGCGCCCTTATCCCTCAGGGCAACTACCTCTTTGAATGTGGTTAAATAGTCGCCGGCATCCCTGACGCCCAGCTGTTGTTGGTCATTCAAGCCGCAGGCGAAGACCAACGAGCGATTGGTTAGGAGCAGCGAGTGTTGGCGCGAGACGCTGATGCCTATGATGAGCTCCTCGTTGTGCTTGAGTGGCACTTTGACCCGTTTGGGAGCTGGCAGACTGTTCTCCACACCAATACCCAAGCGGCCGCCCTTGCCATGACCCACTGCATAGAGATGTCCACGCTTATCCAGAAAGAGACTGTGAAAGGGTCCCAGAGCCACTTGCTCCAGCCAAAGATTCGACTTGCGAAAGAAATCCAGGGATTGTGGCGTCAGCGTATTCTGCTCATTGCCAATGCCCAGATTATAATTTCTATTAGACCCCCAAACGAGCGCCTCGTTCCTGGAAAGGATTACGGATTAGGGCTTGCGGTAAAGGCAACTGCTTTGGTTACTCACTGCGACTCAACCTGCTGCTCTTGGTCACATTTGCGGCATATGGCCTGCAGTGGACAACGTGTATCCTCATCCAGCACTTCCAAGCTGCCACCGTAACGCAGCAACAATACGGCGCAATCGATAGAGCCGTAAAATAAAGCTCTATGAAGTGGTGTAAAGCCCGATTCCCAATCCCGCTCGTTAACAAGTGCACCCTGATTCAGTAGCCATTCGAGTATCCTATATCTGGCGACGGAAGCACACATATGTACGGCGGTGCGGCCCAAATAATCCGGAATATTGCAAAAGTTTGCACAAGTTTTGGCAATGAAAGTGGCCAACTTTTGATCATCGATGGAGCGTTTAGTGAGCGCCGCAGTAATGCAGTTGCCATGCTGACGCTGACGGCACTTGGAGGTGCAATCATACTCGTGATTTCTTAACGCAGACATGCGTAATTAATTGTTATAACTAATTGTAAATGCCGCAACAAAATTGCACTTTTCACTTCAAAAATTGTTGTTTTGATTTGCAAACGGAATCGGAACTAGTGGCAAAGGAACAAATGTTCACGTCAGTAATGCTAGCAATTACAAACCTAATCTAAGTTTCCATTACCAATAAAGCTAAAAAAAAAATAAATATAATATAAAAGCTTAATTTTATTATGCATATTATAATCACAATATTGTGAAATTAACTAAACGCCCAAGTGAACGCCGGCTCGCTCCGCATGAGCCAAAAATACTATTAGTTGGTATTTTCTTTTATTCCGCATACGTCCACACTATGCACTCCACTTGAAGTAGTAGTTGTTGCGTGCACGGTGTATAGGTAGAAGCTACGCGCACCTTGCTACGTAAGTTAAAAAGTGTTAATTTATTGATAATGTAAAAACATAGTCGCAGTGTTATGTAAATTGAAATAACACAAATTATAAATAATCAACATATATCGTAACATATGGAAGTGACTGCAGTGGCAGCATAGCTGGTTAAATAGTGAATTTACTATGTGTGTGCATTAGTGTATGTGCATGTGTGTGCAGGAGGTGCTACAAACGGGAAATAAATTGAGTTTAAGTTTGAGTCATAAGCCAGGCAGAGAACGCGTCATGTCTGTAGTATCAAAATACGTTGAATTGTGTGTTGTCATAGGCATCAATTTGGTTAATTCAATTAGTATGCATAACAACAATAAACAATTTATCAGCTACTCATACGCTAACTGTATGTACTCAGTGTATGGGAACTGATAATCTATGTGTGTGAATGTGTGTGTGTATATATTAGTGTTGGTGTAGCTCGCCTTTATTAATTAATTAATTATTTGACCTAAGCGGTCACTCAATGTGCGCGTTAATGCTGAAGAATTCTTTAAAATTCTATATATACCATGTGTCTATACGTATACACTTGCAAACCTACTTTAAGAAAATGGAATAGTAGTGAATAGTGAATAAGTTCATGTGCACGTAATACTTGTTTACATACATACATGCATGCCTACATAAATATGTTGCCAGTGCATGAGTATGTTGCTAGCTTGTACCTGTGTGTTAGTGTGTAAGAGAGTGAGAGAGCAACAAAGTTTCTCTCGGTAGCTGGTGCTCATTTCGTATTAATTTCTTTTTATTTACTTTTAGTTCACACAGATCAGGTTTTCCAGTCATCAAGTGCCTGTCCTCGCTGCAGCTGCATTACATTACATTTCTTCGTCTCCCTTTTAAGCATATTATTCTAAGGTGCGAAAGAGAACAAGTGTTTGCCTGGCTGCCTGAGTGCCTGACTGGACAGGTTAAATGCGAGAACACAACCCCCGGAAATGCCAATAGAAAAAAGTCGACCATAAGCAGAAGCAGATAAGAAGCGCCTGCATAAAGAAAGCAGCGATCAACAAAAAACTAAGAAACAAAACAACATAAAAGAACCAGCGCTGAGAGCTGTGTGCTGTGTGTTTGTGTGTGTGAGCGAGTTGAACTAAATCAATGCAGCTTTCTGCACTGGAACTGCAGATAATACACACACACATCCAGATACCCCAACACACATACATGCACATAATCTTTGGCACAAATTGAATGAATGGAATAATTATGTTGTGATGGGCTCGTGCTCGTGTACACGGCGACACTTTCTGCTGTCAACATGCTTCCTGCAAATGGTAAGTGTGTGAGTGTGTGTGAGTGTGTGTGTGTGTGTTAGATACAGTGAGAGTACCATATGGCTGACCCTAATTTTATTTCATTTCCCTATTTTTTATGGACATACAAACAATGCTTGATATCTGTTCTGAATTGCCAAACAATCGACAGATAACGATTATCGAACGCCAGGTATTCGACTTTCTCGGATATATGTGGGCGCCCATATTGGTCAACTTTTTTCAAATATTATTCATCATATTTGGCTTCTACGGTGCATATCATTTTAGAATCAAGTACATTATAACCGTAAGTACACAAAACCCTCCAGGCCCAACCGGCCAGAGATAACAAATTATTTGACGATAACCCAAATTTGTGTTCACAGTATTTAGTATGGAACTTTGTGTGGATCGGTTGGAATGCGTTTTTAATATGCTTCTATTTGAATGTCGGCAGCCTGGATAAGGTAAGCAATTGAGGTCAAATCACAAATAAAATGTGGGAAATAGGGCTTAGCCTGATAAAATATTGTATATATAGAACAGAGCTTTGCTTTTATGAGGGAGCGATTGTATTTTAAATGATTTTATTTACAGCTGGAACTTTTTGTAGCTGATTAATATATGTTTATTGCGTTTTTTTTTTTTTGTAGTACTTTTTAAATTCTTTATACGTAGCTGTTTGCTTAAGAGATTCATATCATATCTTCCTTTCCATTGGAAACTTCTATAAACTTTTGTTTGCTTTTTTGCTTTTAGATTGTTTCCTTAACATGTTTCCAATTTAATATAAGTATTTATATGCCCTGTGCTTCATCTCATTTATATCGATTATATATATCCATTATAATATCTTTATCGAGGCAATCTATTAACTGCTTTCGTTTCCTTTTGCAGGATGGCGATTTGCTTAACATGGGCACTGGCAGCGTCTCCTGGTTCGAGGCAAATGGTTATGGCTGTAAGCCCACCTATAACATTACCTCGGATGATCCGTTTCGACCTTTGAGGCCGGAGCGTGTTGAGGATTGTCTGCTGGACTATACGCTCGTTGAGGTCATCCATTCGGGTGTACAATGCGCGCTGGCGGTGAGCAAGCTAAATATATATAAATATGTGCACACACTCAAATACATACATATATATATTAATCAATTTTAAGTGCTACGAATTGTCATCAATTGTCTGACTCTTTCTCTCTCCCTCTTTGTTTAGCTGCTGGGCATACTTGGTGCGATTCTAATCAGCTGCATATTTCTCGATGAGGACGACAGATGTAAGTTGCTGCAAAGCTCAACAAATTTCAAGCACATTCATCTATCTAAATATATATTTATACTGTCTAAAAGTGACGCACTCTTTGGTAATTGGTTTCTAACAATTTGTAGTTTTGTCTTTTTGATTTAACCAACTTTTTGTGTATATATATTTATATTTTTATAATAATTTCCCAAAGCTCCCCGAAAGAAATTAAGCTGAATGTTTATGTACGCAACGACTGATATGTTTATATCTATAATTGTTAAACTATATATTTATTTATAAACAAAAAAGAACGAAGTGAACTGTGTAATGTTATATTAATTTCAAAGCTTTGATATATACAAAAAAAAGAATACCTGCCCGGAATGTCTTCTTATTATTTTTGTTTTTTGTTTTTGATTAACCAAGCGAAATGTTTATAAAACGAATGTGAAAAAAAAAACAACCAAATGTTATGCATACCAGAAACAATCATATGCCACATATATATATATACTCTATACATTTATCTTATATCATATATCATATATCATATCCTTTATATATATGCTCGTAAACGTTATCTATGTTATAATTATGTCATGAGTCCAACGAAAAGAGCTATAATTTTTGATTGTTATTTAATTGTTAATTGCTTTTGCTGTTTAATCGCACACACATAATATACATTTGATTTGTATTTTATTTATAATGTTAAAGCATCTTAAACAATTTCTGGTTTACAGTCGATTTCATGAACGGCGATGCGAAGAGTCCACAGCACACCGTCGTCCATCCAATGTACGTGAGCTATACAAGTATACCAACAACGTCTGCAAGCGCAACCATGCAATCAAATAAGCATATGCAGCAGCAGCAGCAGCAACAACAGCAGCAGCAGCAGCAGCAGCAGCTACAGCAGCAGCAGCAGCAATACTCACTGCAATTCCATCATCAACACAGACACAAATCGAGCAACCACAACAACAACAACAACAATAGCAACAACAGCAGCTACAATAATACACTCAGCAATGCTCATCAACAGCCACAAGCACAGCAAGCAAATAACCTTAATGCATACCAACCACATTTAACCCACACAAGTGGCAACAACAACAGCAACTACAACAGTGGCAGCAAGAACACTCGCAGCAGGTCGCAGCAGCAGCAGCCACAGTTGAACCACATTGAGAGCCAAAACAAAGAGCAACAGCAGCGCAAGCGCCTCTATCAAAGCAAATCACCAGCTTTGAACTCAGTCAGTCCCATGTCCCTGTCCATGTCCATGTCCATGTCGCCGCAGACCACCTCCTCGCTCTCGTATGCCTCGCTGCAGAACTCGAATCCCCAGCTGAGCAACAGCAACTATAGCATTTGCAACGATACGTCCAGTGGACACTTTGCACGCATTCATTATAAGCCAAAGGCTCCCAAGTCGTTGCCCGACATCAAATATGCCCAGGTGACTTCAGCCCGACTTTCGCGCAATTTGGAAGAGGATGAGGATAGCTTCTCACTGCACAATCTATCGCCCAATGGCGACAATGGCGTTACCTATGTGCCCTTTCAGAGTCCCACACCCAATAGCTTGTTTGTTGAGAATAATAATGTGGGCACGCCGCACATTGCCTTCAGCTCCCATCCCGAGCAGGCCCATAACAACAACAACAACAACAACAGCAATAATAATCATTATCCATATGAACAGCATGGCTTGCCTTTGCCTTTGTCTTTGCCCACTATTTCGAGCTATAAGCAACTGCCACGCCCCACACAGATACCGCTGCCCACTGTGCCCATACACAGCTGCCATGTCGAGGCTGATCCGGAGTCGGAACTAACCCTGTCGCCCCCTCCTCCTCCTGTGCCACGGCCGCACATCTTTCAGCCACGTCTGGGTCAAGCACCCTACCCCGATCTCTCGCCCGAAATAGCCGAAAAATATGCCATGCCCACACAGCATGTGCCCAGTGGCTCGCCCATGGTGCGTCGCAGTCAGCGTCGCCCGCGTCCACATCCAGCTCCGGCCAACTTCTGTGATCAGATACGGGACACACCGCCCGGCTACATGTTGCGCGCCCACAGCGAAGATCGGTTGGAGGAGCAGCCGGTGCCAGCTCAGTCCCAATCCCAATCGCAATCGCCATCGCAGTCGGCTCCGCATGTCAATCGACGCAGCGGACGCAAAGCTCGCCCGCGCTCCTTTTGCAATTCCATTGTGGGCGCCCAAGCCTAAAGGCCCTGCACACACAGATCCTCATTTTGCTGCATTCCTTTTGACCAAATCTGATAGACTTTTAGAGATTATACAGGCGCGTTAAGTCGCGTCCATTTCAACCGAAGCTCCAGTTGTCTCTCTCGCTCTCACGCTCTCTTTGACTCACGTATGTTCAGCTCCTTTAGTATCTCTATATAACCATCTCTCTCTCTCTTTCACTATTATAAATCTCTACTGCGGGTGCTGGGCGAGATTTGCCGCTTGTGTCTCACGTGTTTGTCCATGCTAACTAACTGTATATTACGATTTAGTATGTGTTGTCATCCTTTTTGTTGTGGCTAACAGAGTTTAATCTTAATACAAGCTACGAGAACGACCTAGAAACACTATAGTTAGAGATAGTTTGTAAAGTGCTGGCTTGAAGTGCAATGCAAGAGAATGGTTTCGATTTCCCAAAAAAAAAAAAAACAAAAAAAAACTGAACGACTAAACTGTTCCCAGTTACAGTTTAGCTTAAAAAAGGCGTTAGGCAAAAGCATATATTGAGCTGTGCTCATTTGAACAAACTGTTCCCTGTTGCAATTGAAGTGTGGGAACAGTTAGCTGTAGACACTTATACGCACTGTAGACACTACAGTTGTTAACTACATATATGCTGTTCCCAGTTAGGAACACCTCTAGTTAGCTCTACTCTAAAGAATTATTCTCGACTTTTACTATACAGCTGTTCCCACTTGCAGCCATATAAAAGTTATTTGATGATCTGTACCCTATTGTCTGTTTATATGATGTTGTTCACAGTTCGAGTTTCAGTTTGAATGTAGACTATATAATAGAATCACTTTAACACACTGTTCCCAATTCGTTGGAAGTCAACTGTTGGAACAGTGTAATACTAAACTGTACTCACTTTAAGTGTCATTGTAAAACGAAAATGTTGCAATAATTAAGAGTGCTCCCAGGAACAGCTGTCCATATCGTGCAAGTGCAATGCAAATTGAATGAATTACAGTTATATTTAATACCAACTGTTCCAATTGCAGCTCAAGCAAGCGGCAAGCAGAAAAGTTGAAATTTTATACACTTAAAGAAATTTAGTCTAGCAAAATGTTCAACATAATGGAAATTTTATTACCAAAGCTAAAAGAATTTGTTGCGTCTAGATTTGCCTTGCATAGCACTTGAAGTGGATTAAAAAATGTAGATTTAAGCTAAATATTGGATGCCTTGATAGCCATTCACTGAATTATGTGACAAACACACAAGAAATACATACAGACATACATAGATACATACATACATGCGCGCTCTCATTCATATGAGACTTTCCATAATGGCTGCAAACAACATTATGAAATGTGATAGAAAATGTTACAAAAAGATAAAAACAAAATCTGAAACGATACGAAACGAAATGAAACGAAAAACTATAAACTGGGAAGGGAACTAAATGGGAAGAGAAACGTAACGCTAAGCGGAAAGTCGAAATGCCTTCATAATTTTATGTTCAACTGTGATACTACATAACGATAACAAATTATTAAAACAAACACACAAACAAATGTCACAAAAGTTGTTAAAAATTCAAATCAAAATATTTAAATTTGCCAATGCAACCAAAATGCCTTTAAAACGAAAGAAAACTTTTTGTTGAAAAATATAAAAGAAAGAAAAATTTAAGCGAGATTCGTTATATAGATTTATCTCTATACATATATATATATATCAATTGTTAAGACTAGTTAATAAGCTATACACAAGAGAAATTCGCTAATTAGTTATTAGGCAGAACGATCGATCTATATAGTATATATAAAGATACATGTATGTAGTTCTACTTATAGAGTCTATATAGTTCTACGAGCTGATTGCGTGCCAATATATATTCTGCAAAGCGTTTAACCCTCTAAACAAAAATATTAATAATAATAAATGTTCATTTACACAAAATGTTTTTTGGCTTTTTGATATCGATATCGATAGTTATCGACTTATTTATATATAATCTGGTTAACTGGCTTCATGTAGCTGCTATCCTCTAACTGTATCTCTGTCTCCCTCTCTCCCTCTCTCGTAGCTAATCCTGTATACATTTTAATCACACAAAACACACCAAAAATCAAAATCAATATCTAACAATCAGGTAACTGCTGTTAACTTGGCTAGCTATATCTGCCTTAGAATAAAGTTTATCGATCACTGAACTAATTTCTTGCATTTCGTCATCTACAGTGAAGCACATTAGCAAGCAGTCGAAGCATCGCCAGTCGCTGTACTCCATTGATATAAGCGACACGATACGGCATCGAGGCGACGTGATGTTGGGCTTTGGCGATCCACACGATCAGGATCTGGACCAGGATGGCGGCGAGCTGAGTCCCAAGCCCATGACGCCGCGTCGGGTTAAGCGGCGCTCGGTGATGGCGCGCGGCTCACATGGCAGGCAATCGAGTGGAGCGGGTGGCAGCGGCAGCAGCAGCACCCGACGCTCGCATCATGGCTCCAGCAACACATTGAGATCGAAGCATGGACATGGACATGGGGACAGCAGCAGTGGCAGCTATGTGCGGAGCAGCACGCGTAGCTCGCGGCGCAAATATCAACAGAATCCGGTGACCAAGTTGCTGGATCAGCAGCAACAGTTGCAGCTGCAGCAGCAGCAGCAGTTGCAACTGCAGCAGCAACATCAGCAGCAGCAGCTGCAGCAGCCACAGCTGGGCTCATTTCATCGTCAGCGCTCGTTGACAGCTTCCAATCTGCAGAGTCTCAATGCGGACATCGCCAGCAACAGGAACAGCAACAGCAACATTAGCAACAGCAACATCAACATCAACAACATTATGAGCAACAGCAATTTGTATCACAGCTATCGCAAGAATATACCACTCGATCCCATTTACTATAATACAAATGGGCAGGGCATGTTGTTGGAGCAGCAGGCGTCGCCGCCATTGCCGCCGCCGCCGCCACCACCGGCGCCACTGGGCGGCGGCCATTATAATCCCAGCTATCAGCACTCGACCACGCAGCTCAACGATGTTGGCCACGCCAGCGATGAGCTGTACAACAACCGTCCGCCCTCTGTGCGCTCCACGGCTTTTCCACGGCTCACGCCCACTCTCCACCGCCTACAACAATGCGGAGAATGTTTTTGTGGGTCTGAGCGGTGCCAGCGCCAGTCCGCCACAGCCGCCCTGCACGCCGCCACTGTATCAGCAGCACCCACTACACCAACAGCAGCAGCAGCAGCAGCAGCAACAACAACAATATCTGCCGCCTCCTGTGCCAGAGCCAGCGCCAGCTTACGTCAGTGCCCAGTCTCACATGAGCTTCTCAAAGCACACTGCCTCCAGAGAGAGCATACGCTCCATGGCCTTCCTGAACAATGGACCGCCTGCCTATAATCTTAACTATCATACGCCGCCTGACTCCGAGACAACCATGTGAAGGACCAGTAACAAATATTTATAGCTAGCATATGAATCGTTCAATAACTAATGAATCAATAAGTAATAACTATTGTCTGAGTCATCCTAAAAGATTACGATCATAAGAAAATATCATTCATTAACTTAAAACTATCATTTGCTATGTGAATAACTTAGTGCCTATGAACTTATATTTATCAAATGAAGGAATTATTTAATAACTTATTCATATCATTCAATGTTTCGAAAAGTTCAAAAATATTCAATAGCTCGGAGATATAAAATTGAATCATAGAAATTCCAAGATATGAATCCTTCAATGACTTATTGACATCACATGAATCATTAATAAGTTATTGAATGTCCATATGACTCATTCTATCACATATACATCAAAGATCTCGATTGACTCGAATCGAACACTATTTATATCGCTATAAAAATATACAAAGTTAACTGTAAACAATTCGCCTACAAACTACATGATAACTGTTTACTTATATCTTATATAATTATCTATAAATGTATTTAACTCTAAATCTAAATTAGATTTTAAGCTTCTGTCGTTTTACCAAAGTGCCTTTGTATATACTTATATAGAAAACAACAACAAATAAACGATTCTTTTGTATGTCAGATCTCCGTATTATGAATTTAGATAAGATTGTAGATGTTAGATAGATGATGAGATATCGCAAACTAACCTTCATATCAAAATTCGTCAGCACATATAGAATATAGTTTTTATATTGATTTTGGTGTGTTTCTAGATAGTGAGAGCTATGAGAATTGACGTAGATATATAGAAAATAAGTGACCCTTATATGACATTGAACTTACGCTTCATATTTTTGACAGTAAGGCAAAATAGAGATATGGTTAGATATGGATATATATATACTGAAAAATATACATATATATTTATATTTTTAGGTATAGATATAGACACATATTTGTGTACAGGTATAGACATCGATTATAATGCATAGATTGTTTGTAGCTCGTGCTATATAAACTGTAGACCCGATATAAAGCCTGATATTTATTTATAGGCTTTTAGGCATTGATGTAAGATAAGTATAATCCCGTTGTTATTCATTGCGGCACACTAGAAGCCAGAAATAATCGAAAAGTATGGTAATAGTTATAGGTATATATATTCTTAAGTTTGTACTACTCACACTCATCTGCTTCCCAGCCCGGCTCCAATTCAAGCTGCATATTCCGCTCCTTCAGCCAGGTGAAGAGCGGGGCAAAGTATTCCAAGATGCCGCGCCCACTCAGCTTGCGTTCACCTGTGGCTATAAACATGATGTCGCGCCAATGCTTCGTGGCGCCCAATTTCATCATTTCCCTATGCAAATAATAATATAGGGTATATGGCATATAGAACTAAGTTGAGCAGCTATACGTACCGCATCAAGTCTCCCGCCTCAGTGCTTTTGTGAAAATCGCAATTGTGCAGCGGGAAGTTGGGATCTCCGGGCTTATATTGTTGGCTAGCTATGCAAAAAGAGCGATAAAACTGGAAGCCAAGAACCTCACTGATGAATTTTCTGGGAAGAAGAAGAGAGAACACTTAGACAAGATAGACAAAATACGAAACAAGAATAACAGTGAAGACTATATAAGACTAGCAGGATTATATGGCAGAAGAAAAACTATTTAAAACTGGAAATATTGTAGAAATGTATATATGAAAGGACAAATAATTATTCTAGGCATGGAAATCTATATTAGAATTCCTCTAAAGAATTTCTCCAGCTAAAAATAATATTTCTGCTTACCTTGTACTGGATTTCTCTGGCTGTAGGCCACGATAAAATTTATAGTCCAAATCAAAGTCCTTAGCAGTACGCCATCTGGGAGGCTGTACGCCCGCAAATTTATCCTGCAGACGCCAATAGGCGCAGTTGTAGTCCTGTACGCCAATGCGACCGTCCATGACATCCACAAGGAATTTATCGTTGATGAAATACTGCGGCACAGCCAAGAGCGTGTGTACGCCCATGCGGAAGAGTCGATTCAGGGACTGATTCTCCGTTAAGCTGTCATTCAACAGGATGTACAGGCGATGCAGATGACGTGGCGTGCCCGAAGCCAGCACCGCAGTCTCGCCTAGCGCGGCAGCAAAGCCCGGACAGGGTTCCGTATCTAAGCCAAACGGTAGCTCACGCTTGTAGATATTATACTGCAGCTCGGCCATGGTGCCATGGATTTGCATCAGCTTCTTGTAGTTGGGCTTGGGACAATACCGCATCGCGACATCTGGTGGAAAGTAGTAGACTTGAGACTTGCAATCCGGACCGCCTTCATCATCATTCATGCGCCGTAAGAAGCGCTCATAGAAGTTGCTGTAAAGGAAAAACATAAGCATTGAGGTTGGCCGACTTAGAGTTACTCTAAATCTCACCTAGACATCTTATTGAGACCCAGCGACTCGAAGAACTCGGTTGCCTTGTTGTTAATCTTGACAGGTGTCACGAGCACCTCCTCCAGACGATGATGCACTGAGGGCAACTGATCCTTGGGATAGGGCGTGCGGAAGATCTGGTGCGAGTACCAGGCCTGCGACAGCATTTGGTCGAACACGGGCGCTGAGATGGCGCCGTCATCTTTGATATTGGCCTTGGGGTAGGCGAGTTTGGCCGAGTGCCTCAAATAGGCGTGCATCTCCCTATAGAGCGGCATTATCTCCCAGATAACTAAGCAGTAGGGTTAGATATATAGATATGTATATATAGTAATGCCAATGATAAGTTCCTCTATCATATATATAGATGAACTACCGCAAATAAACAAAAATAAAAAACTTCTCTTACCCTCCTCCATTTCGGCCTGGAAGTTCTCCGTATCGTAATACAAATACCAGGTTCTGGACGGCGTCACATGCCCATTGTAGGTGGCAGCGATTCGCAGGAGGCGCACATAGTCGATGAACGTGGACCTGGCCGTATCCTTGTCATTGATGGCTATGCGCCAGTAGAACCAGTTCGTTTTCAGATCCTCGTACACCCTTGTGTGCATATTCAGATTGTAGAGCTGGGGGTACATGGCCAACGGTCTGCGCGCCGAGCAATCGTCGCTGGTGCAGACCAAGGCGCCGCTGATGAAATTCTGCATGGTTCTCAGCAGATCCTTGGCCTGTTCATAGTCGTCGGGCCGCAAACCGTGCAGCTGGAGTTTGGCCAGGCGTTGAACGCGACGACGTAGCAACGGATCACGCAGCTGCTCCACGGGCACAACACTCAGATTGGCCGCCAGTTCGTGGAGCAGCTTGTAGGTCTCCGTTTCCACTTCCTGCTTGCTGGGCGCCTGGCCACCCAGCGGAGACTTACCCTTCGAGGTGAGCTGCAGAAAGATGCGTCGGCGCATATCCCATATGACGCGCATTCGCTGCGTGGCCACATCAAGTATACGCTGCGTGGACTCCTCATATTGACTAGAGTGATTCGAAGTGGGCGTGGCAGCGGCTAGGGCAACCGCCAGGAGCAGAACTGGCAGCAGCTTTTGCCAGAGCATGGCGCGGCTGGCTATTGTTAGGGCCTTGAGTAGAGCTGCCCTGCTTCAAGCTTACTTCCGTTAAGTAGCTGTTACCGATAACTCAACTCGTCTCTGGCTTATCAGTCTCCAAGCTGCGTTTATGTTCTTCTCTCGTTCAGATCTTCTAGAGCTGCGAGCTATACGAGCTCCAGTTGCGCACTGAGCGAGTGATTGGAATATGTGTATTCCTATAAGGGCGTAAAACAAACAAGCGAGTGGGTCGCTTAAGAAGTTGGCACATACGAGTAATAAAATTGATAAAAATAAAACGAAATTAAATTTATTTCATATTAAATTAACTCATTAATATATATAGTAATATTTTTAGAAAACAATTTGATTTATTTTCATTAACTACAACATTTATTGCTGCCCACTCTTTACAATAATCTTGAGCAACATTTCTTATCAGTTTCGAGCTCAACTAGAATCCAGAATGAGCCGGTTGCCTTGACATATAGTGTGCGAAACCTTCAGATCTAATTTAAATATTTAAGAATTAGGGAGAAACGCACTATTCAAACAAATAATTTAATGAACTTGAGCTGAATTTGGTATAATGTGCATTGATACAAGCATAGATAAGTATGTATGTAGAAATATGCAATAGAGGCAAGGAAACATGAAAATATTGAAAAATAGAAACATTTCAACAAATAATATATACGTATGCACATATATAAAATATACTCTCGACTTGAACTCATGAGCCTAGTTGAATTTATGAGAATCGAGGAGGAGAGCACCAACTAAGAATAATGTTTAATTTCAGTTATACTTCGTCTGTTTTCCGATTGGCTATCAAAGCACACGTGCTCAAGCACACTCACACTCACACTCACACACTCACACACACTTCTCTTTCACACGCAGACAGACCTAAATTTAAATAAGTTTCTATTTAAATAATGAATAAAACGTTATTTATACGCTCTGCTGCAATTGCATTGAGAAGTCGCTGGCAAACACTTCACCTTTCTCTCTCTTGCTTCCACTCTATCTCTCTCGCTCTCGCCATCTCGCGGCCCTCAAGGCCGAAAATGAAATGAAGTATACGCCATGTGGCACACCGGTTAAGAATTACAGTTAACTTGGCTTTCGATTGAATGGCGAGCAAAGAGCTGGCGTCGCAGCATCCAATTCATCTTTTGTTAGTCAGTGGCCCATATTTGGGGCTTAATAATTTTGACGTTTTTAGACAGCGGCCTGCGGTGCAGCAGCAGCAGCAGCAGCAGCAGTAGCAGCAGCAACAGCAGCGGTAGCAACAGAGGCAGCAACAACGCCAGCACGAAGCCAGAATAGTGGGAAATTCGTCATGCCCAGCAGCGCATTTGTTTATGCCGGCAGGAGTAAAAGAAAAGAAGTAAACTGTGCCAAATCGACGCTGGCAATGACGAGTTTAGCCGAGTCCAAGCCACGTTTTGATTTTCTTCGACTGCTTAGCCTGGTTGGTCGGCTACTTCTGACATTTTGGCCAAAACATACGCCGTGGGTCGCTGCGACACGCACATGGCACACGCCACTGGAACAGAGAGAGAGCGAGAGAGAGCGAGAGAGAGCGCGCGTGTCCTGGCATGTGCGCTATAGGGGGAAATTTCGTTGGCACTTAATCGTCTGGCTGCTCTGCAGATTACGTCAAACGGAAAGGAAAACCCGTTTGCTCGCAGTCAGTCACCAACGAACCTTAGAACCGAGCAGTCGCCATTGCAATGCACGCGTCCGTAGTGCGAGCCACACAAATACAAAAGAACAAATAAAATAATACAAAAAAAAAAAAAAAAAAGAAAAAACCAAAAAAATATCATATATATACGTATATAAGAAAAGACAGCACACTGACACACACACACAGACTGAGGGACATACACACTCACACACTCCTACCCACACACACTCACACACATACACTTAGCGAGTCTGAGAAACAGAGATTTACAAGTGCAAGCAGCGAAAAAGTCTTCTGCGCCCAAAAATAGAGTGAAATGTGCATATTGTTGTTGTTGTAAAGCAGGATATAACGGAAACTAACCTACATTTTCGCGCTCTTTCGCACGCTTTCGCACAAGCCAAGACCAAACTAACACATACACAGCAACGAACGAACGAACGAACAAACACGCACGCACACACTTACAGTAACTGTGACGCCTGTGCTGTTGCGCGCTCGCTCGCACGCGCTTCAAACCAGAAAAAGAAATCAACAGTAAATTGTAATAACACTTCTCGGCTTGAGGTGTGTGCGTGCAACGCCGCCGTCGTCGTCGTCGTCGTCGTCGTTGCCGTTGTCGTCGCCGTCGTCGTCGCCATTTGTCGTGGTATGCGTGTGTGTGTGTGTTTGTGTGTCAAACAATGTGCGTGCCAGCGCTGTTTTCATTTTTGTTGCTTTTGCCAGCGCCGCTGTGCTTGCTGGGCCAGCATTGTTGCATAGAGAGTTGCGACTAAAATAAAAATGTAATTAATGTAAAATATATACATACATACATACAACAACAACAGAAGCAGCAGCAAGCAACAAGAGTTGAAGAAGAAGAAGAAGCAGCAGTAACAGAAAGCGCAATAATAATAACAAAAGTGTGCCCAGCTGCGGCCAATTGAAGTAGCCGCTGTAAAAGGAGAAGGGAGCAAAAGGAGAGCAGAAGAGCCAATTGCAACAATCGAATGCAGCCTGCATATGTATGTATATATTGGTATGTGTATGCGCGTGTGTGTGTGTGTATATATAAATAGTAACTAGTGCATTGGGCAAATTGAAATGTAAATACACACAAACAAACACACAGACACACACTCACACACATATGCGTGTGCGCGCGCCTGTGTGCATATCCTGTGCGTTGTTCAGCGATTACATAAAGAAAACAGCAGCAACAACAACTGCAACAACTGCTACAAACAAATGCAATAAAAAGCAATTAAACATCTTTTAAGGTAAATCGGCGAACATTTTCAATGCAGCATATATGTAAATGTGTGTATGTGTGTGTATGGGTGGGTGGGTACTGCTCTGTTGGCGTGTGTTTGTATTTGCGTTTGTTTGCACATGTGTTGCCGAATGGTCGAGGGGGCGTGGCGTTTGCTGTGTGCCCTATTGCGGCCTTTGCGGTTGTGGCTTGTGGCATTGCCTTACTTTTTGTTGTTTTTCCGTTTCTGTTTTGCTGTTTTTCTGCTTCTGTTTTTTTTTGTTTTTTTTTTTTTTTTGTGATTTCTGCTCTTTTTTGTTTTGTATTTTTGGCCCATAAATTAGCGCTTGATGTGCTGCACTTAAGTAGCGCGCAACCGACGCGACGAGGCAGCCAGCGAAAGGCCAAAAAGTGTAGCCTAGCTCAAGGCGCAGGCCAGCTTCCTAACGAAATGCCCTGAGGTCACGCCCAAAAAACAAAATGAAAAATAAAAGAAAATTAAAATAAGCGCCGCCACATAGCTACCTGAGCTGCTCTTATTGTTGTAATAAAAAATATATTTTGACGATTTGTGTGCTAAGCAAAACAACAAACGAAGCAGTGCAGGTGAGCTCGAGAGAGCGATAGCGAGAGCGAGAGCGAGAGCGAGAGAGAAAGAGTAGGCAGACAGAGAGCAGCAAAATAGGGGGGAAAGAGAGAAGGTTCGTTGGCGTACCGCAGGGGTTCCGCTAACTGATTTCTGTGCCCTGCTTGGCCATTTGCTTATCGACTGCCGCACGCAGCAAAGAGACAGTAAAACCTCAATTAACGAACAGCCGCAATATGCGGGAAATATACGAGTATGTGAGCTATAAACTTAAGAAGTTGCTCGAGTACTCATATAGGATTAAGTTTATATGATAAGATTAAGGCACAACTGAAATATAATGAAAATAGATGCAGCTACTCATCCATAAATATCGTATATGCATAGAAGTACATATACGATTAAATAACTTCACATAAGTTACACTAGAAATTACGGGAGAGAACATTCAAAGACAAGCAATACAACCTGAGCAGTATAGAAAACAAAAGCTCTTATCCAGATTGTGCGAGTCAATGGATATCCTGAATACTATCTGCTGCTCAAAAATGCACAGCAGGAGTTACACATATAAATTCATCGTAAGGACTCCCACGTTTGCCTCAATTATCTTCATCATTTCACTACTTATCCATGGAATATTAAATCAGATACTAAAATAGAATCCAGCAGTTCAGGCACTAAAGCATCCCTCAGGAGCAGCTCGAATAGTAGAATCCTATCTATGCGCATATTTGATAGGATAAGACACAGTGAAGCCAATGAACGTATTCTATCTTCATTTTCTGTTTATAATTTTTCAGAGCACCCTCTTCAATGTAAACACATCTATTACTTTAGAGCTGAAGCAAGTTCTTAGTGCTCTTTATCGCTTTATTGTTCGCTTTATCAGAGCCCTCACTGTACATAAGTACACACAGCTCTGAGAACTCTCGCCCGCTTAGGCCGGTGCGCCTTTATGACTGCATTGTTGCGTACTCTTGACACCTGTCCCCCCTAAGTACCCCAGCTCCTCGAGCAGCACACCCTAGCACGCCCCACGCCCCACGCTCCCACTTGCCCACGCTCATTCAATCACAGTGCGGCTTCCGACAGGGAGGGGGGCTGGCTGGCAAGACACACCTGCCTGCAACTATGCGAGATGCTGTGCCGTACTTGATATTGAATATTTTATGGCACTTCATCTAACGTTTTCCATTTCGCCAGCGTCAGCGGTGTCAAGAAGTTTTGCAAAAACACAACAGGAAGCAGGCCTACGTAGCACCCAAGTCAACCAAACACACGCAAACATACACACTCGCACACACACACACACACACACACACACACACATACACATACAAAGCTGCTTACAGCATCCGAAGCTTGGCCTCCTTCTGTTTGCCTTTTGCTGTGCGCCATTTATCAATTCTTGTAACTTACTTTTAGTTGTACGTGTGTGTGTGTGTGTGTGTGTATGTACCATAATGTTAATTAACTTTATCTTTTGGTAATGCTTTAAGTCTTAAAGCGTGCACATTTTCCGCTTCTTCATTTATTCTACGCCTCTCTCTCTCTCTCTCTCTCTTTCTCTCTGTCTTTTGCTCGCTCGCACGTTTATCTTTTCCGCTACGCACATTACGTATACGTTACGTAAACGTAATGCGATAGCAAGCTTACATTGCGCATACGACGCGTAAGCCGTCGTGTAGGTGGCTTAAACTGCACATTATCTGGCAGCCAATTTCCGTTTAATGAGCAGAGACAATTGAGCGGAACGTAAGCCGCTGACAGACGAGAAAGAACGTGCATTTATATGGACTGTATATCATATATACATTTATGTACGATATAAGCAGATAATTAAACAAGTAATTAAACAGGCCTAAATACAATAAATTTATTATATTATGACATAAAGAATCTATTTAATAAGGCTAGATTTTATTCTATTCTATTATTGCTTATCAAATATGTTTTTTAAGAGGCAGAAGGAGGCGAGTCGGATCGCATTAACTATATAAATTCTTGATAAAGCTGACAAGCTGAATAGATAAAGTCAAGTTCTCTCTTTCAGTCCATATATAGTCGATATATAGTTGATACCAAACCCCAAGAGGAAACCCAAATAAATATAGTAAAGTCAGAAATGCAGTTCAAGCTAAGCTGAGTATGAGCGTGTATGAATGTGTATGTGTATGGGTGTGTGAGTAACTGCCTGCATGTTTGTGCATGCTTACGCTTCTTTAAATAAAACAGCCCCCTATATCTACTATTTCTGAACTTTATGCAGTCGTAAATAATCCAATCCTTGGCCTCAATGGAACGAGTGCCTAGGCTTGGGCAATCTAAATGAAAATAATATAAAATTCAATTTACTTCATTGTACTCTCGAATGAAATGAGTTCCATGAGAGCCTAATAGTATTGAATGCATATATTAAGGCAAATATCTTCTAATTTGGCTGCGTAGCACAATTTACTTATAGAAGCCTAACTAGATGAGTTACCAAACTAATAAGTTGTCCTTTTTTTTCTTCTTTACCCCAATTGCTTTGCATATCAATTGCCTGCAGTAAGCCCTAACTACAAAAGCACAAAATGTGAGGCCAACAACAACAACAACAACAACAACATCATCATCAGCAGCAGCAGCAGCAACAACAACGACAACAACAGCGATAACAATAAACGAGGCAACAACAAAGTGTCAGCAACAAAAGGCAAAGGCGTTGAGCCATGCCCATTATTGGAAATACCCGTCAGACTCAACAGATTTGCATAGCTAAAGACGCCGACCGAAGGATGTCACAAGGCAGGACATGAGGCGAATGCAAAATGCTAACAAAGGCGACAATATTAACGCTAAATGCGACGATCCCAATGTCTGAGCAGTGCTAAAGTGTGACAGAGACAGAGTGAACGACAAAGAGAGACAGCGAAAGAGAAAGAGCGAGAGCGAGAGAGTGTGAGGGCGAGAGAGCATGCAGCTGCGGTAAGAGAGCAACAACAAAAGCAAACAAGGATATTAACGAGGACAATCAGTCAAGATGAGTGATGATCAAACGCTTGCAGCACAGAATGATGATAAAGGTAAGTTCATAAAGGAGCCACAAACACAAACGAACTCACACACACACAAACACACACACACACAGACAGATTTATACAAGTATATATATATAGTACATAGTAGTTGCCATAAATATCGAGTATGAAACAGATTGTCGAGGCGAACGACGCCTGGTTTGAGTTGCCATCAAATCTGCGCCCGGTCCTGGGCCATGCATATGAAATGAGCCCCAGGCAATGGAGGAGCAGGGGGCGGGGCACAGCTCTTGACACCCTGCAACTGGCCCAAAGGCAAACAGGCGAAAATTAAAAGGCGCGGCTTGCACGGCTAAGAGATTCCCTGTATATAAATAGTTTATTGTAACGTGCTCGACTAAAAGATACTCTGTAGTTAATATAAACAGGTCTCTATTACTATTTCACAAAAAATATTCGACGAAGAAATACTCTGTAGATTTGGCCATAGATTATTAAGCAACATATACATAATTTGTATTGGATTTACTCGTTAGGTATTAGACTAAAAGATACCCTGTAAAGTTGTGCATTGACTGCAGAGGTTGAGCACGAGTAGCATTTGTGCTTAGAGCATATCTTTAACATGCATCTAAGCGTATATAGTAGATTGTATTTTAATCACATTAGTGTGTTTTACAGAGCATTCGACTAGGAGCTACCCTGTAATTAATTTTAGAGGTGACAAATGGAAAGAAATTGGCACTTGGCATGCATACCATCAAAATTCTTGTCAATAAAGCTATTTACAGGGTATTTTATGGCCTTGTAATAGCTTCTACTACTCTATTATCAAAGGACTCATTCGAAATAGAAGATTATACTTGAATTGCCCAATAAAAATTAGTAAACTGATTCCATGTCCAGTCGAGTGTAGTCCAACCCAATTCCACGACTAGTTACAGGGTATAGCGACACGCAAGGCTAAAAGCTGTGCAGGGATTGGCAATGAAGCGGGCATTAGAGCAGGGGCCACAGCACCGCGCAGGGGCTACACCAGGGGCCAGCGAGGGGCACATCTGCATGATGTGGGCGAGTATTTACGGTTAGCTGCTGGTGCTGTGTGTGCGTGTGTTGTGTTGCCAGCTTTTTTGCTCTGCTGGCTGGAGAGGGGTGGTGGGGGAGGATGGCGGTAGGTGACGTTAGGTGTAAGGGCAGTTGGCTACGTTCCGGACTCGTGCTTGGCTCATCAGCATAATTAAATAGCCATTGCTCATTGTGTGTGCAGCTCAATAAAATTTGACTCAAACTCGAATCAAATATGCCACATACGAACGGTGTCCGTGTGTGCGCACACACACACCCATACAGACACATAGAGACACATACGAGCACAAAGCAATGCTTAAGGAGCAGCAGGATTTGGAGGCTGTTTAAATAAATGATAAACTAAAAACGCAATCGCTAGGGGAGCGACTAGCCATCTCTTTCACACACACACATACGCCCCTCTCCCTGCCTCTCTAATGAGTGGCCATAGGTTACGCAATGCTTGGGGCAACGCGGGAGGGGGGAGGGTGGGCACGCGTGGCATTGCTACAATTGCCAGCTGGGCCAATTGTTTGGCCTTAACGCAAACCGTCGCTCAGTGCAGCGGGAAACAATGCACAAAGGCCAAAGCGCAGCGCGTGAGCCAGGGGGCGTGGCAGGCAGGCGGGCAGGCAGGCAGCGACAACGGATTACAAATATGAACGGAAACGGAAACTAATTAAATATGTAGAGCAAACTGTGCAGCCGTTTACCTTGGACTGTATTCTATTTTATTTTATTTCATTTTTTGTATTATCATTTTTATTTTGGCTTTTTTTTTGGTGGCAATTCAATTTGCCTTCGGCCAGGAAGCGTATGGCAAAAGAAAGAAAGTGCAGCACGCTGACTGGCAATTATGTCACACACACACACACATACACAGACACACTCGCACATGCAGACTCACAACTCCCAGTCACCATTGAACTTGTGCAAAGGTCTGCACAGCTGCAGCAACGTTTTAAGATGAATGCAACGGGCGACTTGCAACTTTGACTGGTTTTAATACCTCTTGATTGGTTAACCAGGAAACTTGATGATTTGATGACCGTGCAGGTAACAGGTGGGGCAAGGCGAATGGGCAGGGCAAGGAGTGTGGTATAACACTAGTTAAAATGAGCTGATATATCTGATATACCTATGAAAAATATATAGTAAATGTATATCTTATACATAGTATATATCTTAAGGCATAGTTGATATCTCTAAATAACACAACCAAAAATTGATGTGAGCAGTGATTCCTTATGCCTTAATCAAAGACTTTTCAAGCCAGAGCTTGAAATTTGCTATGCATACAATTTAACCCAATCTATCACAAGTCGAATACTTTAAGAGCTGGCGCTATAAAATTTGTTACGCCTATGCTCGAAATGTCCAGACAGATAGTAAATATTTCAGTTTTAGCCATAGTAAATTCTTGTGCTTTGTAACACAGCTCGAACAAGTTGTTAAATTTTATATGTATTTGATGCTCTTCAAGTATACACAGATATGAAATATATCAATATATCAATATATCCCTCTTCTTTTTTCAATACCCCATCGTTAGCTGCAGCATACCTCAATAACTGTGACAGCTGTAAAATTTCGCATGTAAATGCTCGTAAAATATGCACAAAATATTCTTTTACGTATCGCATATGTCCTCTTGTCTGGCATTTATTTAAACCCAACTCAGGCCGACGTTTAGTTAAAGTTATCAAAATTTAATATGAACACGCTCATTAAGTATATAAAGCTATTTGATAGCTCACCTTTGTTGCATACCCAAGAGACTTTAAGAACTTTACTGGATCTTAAAGTATCTCAAAGTACAGCTACAAAATTGTTGTATATTATATTATATTATTTATAGCAGTTACATATAATAGAATGAATACTAGCTTATAGCTAAAGCGGTGACTAGAACGGGTCCCTATATTATATAAAGCTATAATATATTTAAGATTTGTATGCTGATTGTTCTCAAGTCTCTATCAAATTATTTTCTTGCCTAACTCAACTCATTTTCATCTGGATTCTAATAACTTTCTATATGTCTGCATGAACTCAATTCATTTCCACATCAAAAGTCTGTCTGATTCCATTGCCAGGGTGACTGTTAGTCGTGCATTGCCCGTGTAAGAGCACACTTGTTTGTTTGGTTATTCATTTCATTTTTGGTATTTTTGGAAAATCCAACTTTTGCTACATAACTGTGCCGCTGCACCTGTGTGTATGTGTGTGTGAGTGTTTGTGTTTGTGTGTGCACAATTTCCTTTTGACTTTGTATCTGAGGCGCTGTTGAGAATCATTTTGCTTCCGCATAAACTTTGTTCGCGCATCTGCCGAAGATGTTGCAATCAGGTTATTGTTGTTGTAGGCGATGTTGCTGCTGCCGCTGTTGATGCTGTCGCTGCATTATGCAATACAGGGAAGATGTGCGTTGGCTGCATTTAATGTTAATGTGCGACTGCGAACCGGTTGCCCATCATTGGAGCCCTGCTTCCCAGTTCCAGTCTCCCAGACTCAGACTCTTTCTCTTTTTGGCTCTCTGTCTCGCCCGCTATCGCCGTCCCACTCTGTTTCACTCTCGCTGTCTCTCAGTGGCCTGGCTTAATAACCCGCTACTTTGTTGTCGTAGTCTCGACTGTTAATCTTCATCAAGCGTTACACACGAACTTGATTTTCTCGGATAGCTAACGACCTGTACTGTCTGCCTTATATATATGGATAGACTAGAGTCGAAATTATTGTATTCAAAATGCATTTCATATGATTTTTACCTAATCATCGTTACTAGCTATACCCTCCAACTAATTCCGGGTATAGCGAATACTCAAGTCATGTTTGTCAAACTGTTTCCTTTGCCCACCATTCATTGATTGTTTGCCCCTGGGGAAGTACTGCAAAACTGCTATAAAACAACTGCAGATCTCTCCATTCATAAAAGGCATCAATAATTAAAAGCATTAACATCTATTATATCATTGATTTCCTTCATTTATTTGCTCAAATCGATTGAAAGCTGAAAATAATGTAAATAGATTTGATAGAGGTGAAGTAGCCTCATTCGGTTTTTTATTTACATTCCCTTTCTTTTCCTCTTTATCCATATAGGTATTTATAGATGTTGAAATAGATATATTAGCCATTTATTATGCTATATGAGTCTTAATCTATCTATCGAGCTCATTTGTAGGTGTATCTATCTATCTGTACCTATCTATCTATCTATCTATCTATCTATTTTTCTATCTACCTATCAGTATGTAAGTCCATCAATCTGTATTTATCTACTCATCTATATCTATCCATCTAATTACCTCTTCTTCTTTCTTTACCAATTTATCTAGCTATGCTTTATCTATAGCCACTTTTCTCTATTTTCTCTATCCATCTCTACATCTATTTGTCTACCCATCTTCCTATCTCCACATCTCTAAATATTTATGCCGACCACAAGGTCTCTTTGCTTATCGATCGCTACTGCTATTACAAAATATCTTCAATCTTAAAACACATCTTAGGACAGTATTAACATTAATCACGCTCATTTATAGCTTTTACATCGTTTACATAAATTCCTAATTAACAACTCTCACTTTTTATCCAAGATCTAATTGAATTAAGGGCATCAGAGCCAACGGTGCGACATTGAAAACGTTTTCCGCCTCTTATTATATTTGTAACAGCTGCCCTCATTGCTGTTTGCTCTTGCTCTGGCTGTTGCCATTGTTGTTAGCTGATGGTGAAGTGGAGTTTATGTAAGCACCTGGTTTGATGATATTAATATATATATAGGTATATAATATGAGTCGGCTGCCTCTGATGGCGTTTGATAGGTCTTTTGTTTACACATTTATGTTGCCTTTTGAGTGAATCAAAATGTATATTAATTAATTTGGCAATAGATGGAATCTGATCGGACAGACTTGCACAACACGCCGAAGAAAACGAAACACCGTATGAGAAATGTTAATCTGTTGATTTGCATTGTTACATATACTATATGTGTGTCAGCCCCACCTCGCCCATCCCCATCTCATTTCTCTCGGATGTAAAAAAGAAATAACGGTTAATGAATATTGCCGCCCACTTGGCCAGCAGCAGCAGCAGCAGCTGGATTACTAATCAGCAGCGAAAGCCAAACAATGGACAGGACCATGAACTAAAACAGACCAAGCAGCAGAGGGAGAGAGACAGACAGACAGACAGACAGACAGACAGATAGATAGAGAGAGACTGAGAATATGCAAATACCGATACATAGAGAGCAGAAAGATACAGATAGAAAACTACAGATACATATGCAAAATGTCAGATACAGACGCATGGAGAAACCATGCAGATACTTGCCAAGATACTTACAGATACAAATTGTTAAATAAACAGACATGGGAGGCGCATGTAGATGCTTGGCATATATACATATATGAGCATGATGATACATATACTTAATAGATATATGATGTGAGATGGAAATACGAAGAATATATATGTATGAATATTTTGACGGAAAGATGTAAATATATAGGTATATACCGATACAGAACACACAATACAAGATATAGATACATATGAAGAGCACAAGCAGGCACTTAGAGATAGAAATGCACAGATACAGATACATGTTTATGTTAAAATGAAAACACAGATTTTTTATTCAGATACAATAAGAGCACATGCAGATACTTAGACAGATAGCGAAAGTAAGATACATTGAGTTGCAGGTGCTTATTGTTGCAAACAGATACATTTGGAGAGCTGAAGATGCAGATTTTGTGTGACTAGCCAAATAAAAAAATATTTTAATTAAGATATAATTGCAAACATAGCGAGATATAGATACGATATGAAGAAAAGATACAGATAAATTTTGATGGATGCGTATACTTAAAAACACCTGCAATGAGTAAAATTCAGATACAGATAGATTGTGTGCTCAGATACAGCTGTATATAGTGACCCATATTTACTTTACTATATTTATATTAGCAAATAATTAACTTTAGATAGTTTCAGACACATTCAGAGACATTTGGTAAGAATAGATACTTTTATTGTTATTATAAGACCCATTGAGTGATACACTGGAATACACATACATTTATTATAGTATATATTCAGTTAGAGATACAAATGAGTTGAGATACACACATTCAAATGGTCCTACATAGATACAAATTATGAGTTACTCAAGCAAACAATAAACTTCAAAATCCATTAAGATACATATACATTTAGTCAATCACAGATACATTTACAGATGCAGATACACAGAGAAAAGCATCAGATATAAATTCATTCATACAGTCTAATGAAGATAGAGATACATTTGATACAATTACAGTTAGCATATATGTATATGCTGACTAAATTCACAGATGCAGTTAGTCAGATACAGATACAGCAATAGATACAGATATTTTGGTAAAAGTTTCAGATTCACACACACACACACACATATAGTCTTATGCAGATACAGACACATTTAGTTTGATACAATCAGTGAGATACATATACAATTACAGTTACAGCTACAGCTACGGCTACAGCTACATATAGATGCTGACCAAAGATGGGATGCGGGCTCGGTGACCATGACCTCGTCTCTGATGTAAGAACGCGTAGAAATGAACGGCGAATCGAGACAATTTGCGTTACAATTTCGCCAACGCTGCAGCAGAGCGTGTTATGATTGTTGTTGTTGTTGTTGTTGCTGTTGTTGTTGCTGTTGCTGCTGTTGTTGATGATGTTTTCGGTTTTGCTAGTGGCAGCAACAGCGAGCGAGAGACAGTGGCAGTGGCAGTGGCACTGGCTGTGGCTGTGACTGTGGCAGCAACTGGCTGCAACCAGCCTGTGGCAAGTCTTAACCCAATGGCAACCCAATTACGAAATCAGACAAGAGAAATTACTTAAGAAAAAAACTGGCAATGCGAATTTGTTGTCATGCACAAAATAATCCGCTTACGTATCTATGTTTACATCGATATGCCTGTGTATATTTGTATGTATGTGTGTGTGTAGACATTCTATGTAAAGCAAAATTACAGAGGCAGAAGAGACTTGTATTTAAATATGATTTGCTCATGCTGTTCAAATTGTTACGCTTCGTGGGGCAAAAACTCTCCAAATTGCTATAAATTGAATAAAGTAAGAATTTAAAAATGAATTATTCATAAAAATATAATATACATATTTCTAAATACTTAAAAATCTTTGATTCAAACAATTTTGAGACAGACCCAACAAGAAATTCTAAATAGTCAGAGCCTATTCTAAGAATATTACCTATTTCAGAGCTTCTATAACTGTTTCAATTTATAGGCTAGACCTGAAATTTAGCGCAAATTTGTATATGAAAATATGCAGGATATACATAATTTCAGAACAAGGCGCAGCAAATTTATTTAGAAATGTTTTTGTTAATACGCTAAAAAAAAAAAAAACGTGATTAAAATATATATAAATATTTAATTTAATATATTTTATGTAAAATTCGAGCTAATATCAGTTTAGAAACTGAATTCAAATATCCAATTCATACAGCATACAAAAGTTGGAATTATAAATTTAATCGGAATTCACATTTCGTAAGGAAGTTAATATTATTAAATATTATTTAATAATATACATATAACTAATCTTTAATGCTTAATAATTTCCATTGGTTTTCAAATAGAAACAAATTCCTGCATAACTTTTTATAATATATACATACATAAATATAATATTATTGCATATTAAATTTGATATACATTGTATAAAAATATATAACATAAAATAATACTACAATATACACACATATTGATATCCTCTTCTATAGCCCTCTCTTTTAACATCTCCAAATCTCTCCAGATTTTGTTAATAACATGTCCAACATATCATTAAATTTGCACATAAGCAATCAAATTATTAATTTAACATAATTTGCTAAATGATTTCGAGCACATTTAAATAGATCTATGACACACTGACATATATGTATATTTATTTGAAATGTTTGAAAGCAATTGTAATTGGCGGCAATTAAAATGAAATAATTTTGAAATGTTGCCAGGCTGATGACAGCTTAATCATTGCTTGAAGAGAGACATTTCATACATAAATGTTAATGGGTTAACAACGAGTTCGAACGAGACGAAAAGAGTCGAATTAAAAAATAAAAATAAAAACATAATGAAACAAAAATGCCGAAAAAAAACCCGTGAGCAAAAAGGGTTTGGCCAATCAAAGCAAAAGCAATTTCCAGTGCCAGCCAACGGGGCCGTTATGCAAGTAACGGTTGTTGCTGTTGCTGCTGCTTCGGTTGCTGTTGCTATCTCTGTTTATTGCCTAAGGCTCAGCAACAACAATGTGACAAAAGGAATTGCCAATAGGAAGTTCATATCAGCAGGCAACATTACCATAAGCATAAACGTAAACACAATCAAAATAACAGTTAATGTCCAGCCAGCATTCGACGCCAGCAGCAGCAGCATGAGCAGCGGCAACAACAATAAATAATGAAAATGTCGACAGGAGGGGTTCAGGCGCGGCGAGGGCAGCTGCACAACTTGCATATTAATTTGTTATTGTTATTGTTGTTGTTGTTGTTGTTGCTCTGCTCGATATACGATTTAAATAATTTGAAATTTTTTAACCAAACCAGATTTTCACTGTTAGTCAATGAAAGTGGAGCAATGGGCCCCGCGCCGGCCCTCTTCTGTGTGGTGCTGCAAGAGCGGAAGAGCTGCTTATGCTTTTCTTGTTTGTTTCTGTTTCTTCGATCTTGATCTCGCGCGCAAGTTTTGCAAAGGGCGCCTCGTCTCGTGTAAAAGGTCAACAACACTCTCAAAAAACGAAACGAAAACGAAAATTGAGAAACGAAAAAAAAAACAAACGAACGAAATGTAACGAAAGCACCTAACAGCAATACGCGACGGCCTTCAGTGAGCCGACTTCGTCTGCAGACTGCCTGACTACCTGCCTGCCTGCAGACGCACTCTCTGCTCTGCTTGCACTCTACCGCGCGCCCTCGCTCTCACTCTCACTCTCTCTCTCTCTCCTCCTCTCTCTCTGTGCTCTGTTGCTCTGTTGATAAGCTCTTGCACTTGCCAGTGGCCAGCTTACATAACCCGAGCGCTGCTCAATTCGGCTGCTCCGTTAGTTCGTTTCGTGTATAAAACGGGCCGTTGCATCGTTAGCCGAATCATTTACAGTTTGTCGTTGTTCCAGCAGACGACACAAAGCAAAAACAAAGCCCATATCCTTTATCCAGTAAATCGAAGCGTTATGGCGGCGTATTTCATTGTGAGTGTTGTTGTTGTGGTTGCTGCTGTTGCAGCTCATCGCTGTGGTTGCTAACTAGTGCTATCTCGCTCTCCCTCCCCCTCTCTCTATCTCTCGCATGTATAGCTGAGCGCTCTGCTGCTCGCCAGTCCCGCTGCATGGAGCAAGCCAACCTTTGGACGTGAGCACGTGCATATACGCATCCACCTGCCGGAAAGTGGAGGCGACGGTGGCCACGATCATGGCCATGGCGGAGGCGGCGGCGATTTTTCCGCTTACGAAATACACGATCAGGGTCATGGCGGCGGTGGATATGGCGGCGGTGGCGGCTTTGGCGGCGGCGGTGCTCCTCATGTGAGCACCTTTGCTGTTATTACTGAGAATCATGGTGGATCGCTTGGCGGCGGTCATTATGGTGGTTCCGGTGGCTACAGCGCCGGTGGACACGGTCACGGACATGACGACGGCAAACTGGCTGTGATCGCTGCTGCTGCGGGCGCTGGCGGTGGACATGGCGGCGGTGGCGGAGGCCATGGCTACAGCAGCGGCGGCGGCGGCTCACATGACAGCGGCATCGCACACATCGCGGCCATTGCTGCCACCTCGGACTCCTCTTCCCATGGCAGCGGCGGCTATGGTGGCTACAGTGGTGGACATGGTGCCGGTGGCTACAGCGGCGGTGGTGGTGGTCACGACGATGCCCATTTGGCAGTCGTGGCAGCGGCGACTGCTGCGTCCTCGGGCTCCTCGCACGGATCTGGTGGTGGTGGAGGCTTCAGCAGCTATGCAGCGCCCGCCAGCAGCTATGGACCGCCAGCCAGCAGCTATGGACCGCCAGCTAGTAGCTATGGACCGCCAGCTAGTAGCTATGGAGCGCCAGCCAGCAGCTATGCAGCGCCAGCCAGCGGCTGGACGGGAACCGGCTCCAGCTACAGCGGCGGCAGCAGCTACAGCACCGGCAGCAGCTACACTGGCGGCAGCAGCTACAGTGGCGGCCACGATGACAGCCACATTGTGGCAGCAGCAGCTGGCAGCTCAGGCGGCGGTGGTGGCGGTGGTGGCGGTGGCTACAACTACTCCCCGCCCACTGGCGGCTGGTCCGGCGGCAACTCCGGCTGGGCCTAGGCCAACGGCCAGCTCTGACCAACCCTGGTCGTCTAGTCTATGTTCATGTTCATGGCCCCCGCGCCCCATTGGAGATAATAAGTTATGATTCACTCACTGATCAGCATACCCATACGCAGCATCCATTTCAGCATCTCTGCAACATTTACTCTTCGTATTTATGTAACCGACCCCTTTCACTCGCCCCCATAAAAGGGGGATTAACCCAAATGTTATGTCCATGTACAAAATAAAGTATGTAGTGTAATAATTTAAGAGCAAAAACAAAACTTGACAAACTCGAGTCTAACCAAAAGTCAAAGCCACAAGAGATTATGTCAGCCTGAGGTGAAAGTGTAAGAGACGAAGAAGAAGAAGAAGGTGGATGGTTGATGGGAGATGGGAGATTCGAGATGGAAGGTGGGAGATTCGAGATGCCCGTTCAGCGTTGAGCTGAAGATCAAGTTGAAGACGTAAGACGCGATGATGCAATGCAAATTCAAGAGCAATCGTAATTATTAGCGCTAATGCCAATGATAATTATGTTAATTATCATTATTATGAAGTTGATTTATGTAACAATCGAAGGAAAATAAGCGTTAGTAGAGGGAATGTGAATAATGTCAGGCAATATTAGAAATTGGGCTTTTTGATATTCATTTCAATTAGATAAACCATGATTATTTGAAATGAAGAAATACCATGCTATGTACTATGTACTATGTACTATGTATAGATATATACCATAAAAGGTCCTATGTCAATCAGATGCATTCTATAACTATATCCATATACTTATATACATATCTAGAGCTATATCTATCTTCACATTTATGTCGAGTGAAAAAAGAGTTTAGACAGTTGCTCAACTTCTTTCTATCATCTACTATGAAACTATCTATCAGTAAAGTACCTAAATTGATGGTTTTAGTGTACTAAATGGAGAGATAGTGTCCAAGACTTAGGAACTATACAAACAATATTATTAGATTCTATTAAAATGATTAATAATTATAAAACTAATTTATACATATTTTATTATATTTTTTTTATTGTATATATATATATATTTTTTTTTTTTCATTCACTTACAATTTTCTTTTCTATATATAACATTATTTATTTGTTTATAGTTTTTGTTTAAATCTAAAATTTGTTATTTCGATGTGTATAAATAAAGAGATATTTGATGCGAGTAGAAAATGTTTAAAAAAACGAAAACAACGACAAAATATTTTTGGACAAGAAAATTCGGAATTTGTTTTTTTTTTTTTTTTGCTTTGTGGTTTTCCTTTGCGTCCTTTTGCTATCGAAAATTGTTGAGTTTCCCCTAAGCTCCATATTTGTAGTATTCCTATCATATTCACTTCGTTTGATTTGAACTCACATTTGGTTCTTCCTATCAATTTCAATTTCAATTTGATTATCGTTTATCGATTGCGCTTTGGTTATCCGTTTAATTAGAATTTTTCTTTTTGGCTTTGTTTTTTTCCTCATTTTGCTGACGTTCGTACTGCTTGTAGGGCACGGTGACTTTGTTGTTGAAGTAATCGTAGATGGTAAAATAGCAGGCGGACATGACGCCCGACTTGAACAGAGTGGGCCACATGCCCTTGTAGAAGCCGCGCATGCCCTCCTTCTCCAAGGTGCTGCGTATGCATAGCATTATCGTGTCGCAGAGCGGATTGACGCCGAAGCTCTTGCGGTCCTCCTGGAAGTGGCTGAGCATGGTGCGCTTCTTGATCAGATCGGCCGGATAGATCAGCACCTTGGCGAGGACGCCGGAGATGGCGCCGTTCATGAAGAGCAGCGGCCCCGGTATTTCACGTCTAACATGCTTCTCCTCCCGTATCAGGCTGATGATCTTAAACGTTAAGTGATTTAAGAACTTGTAAATGACGAAATTGGCACCGACTAGCGGATAGATTTGCACCAGGGTCATCATCATGCCGCTAGAGACGCCTCGCAGTCCCTCATTCTTGAATACTTTGTGCACGCCGGAGAACGGCTTCAGAGTGCCGGCAGTCGTACCCGGATCGGCAGCAACCACTCGCGTTCGCACCACATCGAACGGCTGGGCAACCACCGTGCCCACGCAGCCGGCCAAGCCGCCACACATAAAATATGACAGATGCACATTATCGCGCCCAAATTTATACTGCAACGCAGCCGTGTGGAGCTGCTCGTATGACCAGAACTGGACCAGGGCATAGGTGATGCTCATCATTTGCGCCGGCAAATGGCCCTTCCAGATGCCGCGCAGACCCTCCTCCCGGAAGATGGATGAAAAGGCTTGCAGCATGCCGGCATATTTGGAAACGTTCGAGCGTTTCTTTAGCGGCTCCACCTGCAATTGGAATCGAATCTTCAGCACGTCGAACGGGTGCGCTACGAATCGGGTCAGTGCACCTGAAACACCGCCTCCAAGGGCCTGCAGCATTTGTACTTTCGCCGAATTCGAATTGTTTGCCTGCGAGGGTTTTTCAAAATTATATTAAACTATTATAGTTCATTCTGCTTTATATAGCCTAGAAATGCTCAAAACTGTTGCACCCTATCCCGGACGGGATAGTTTTTACTATATTTTCCTCGTCTATATGAAATGAAACCCTGTGCATTGGGTGGTTCTATGCACGAGAATCGACTTTGAAAGTTGCCTTCTACGATGGATGGGGCATTTATGACCCAGAAAGAGAAAAACACTTTATTTTCGCTAAGATTTATGTGACACGCTGTGTGATGTGCTTAATCACTTACTAACTTTAAGTTCAACTTCAACTCACTCACGCTCGCTCTCTCTCTCTCTCTCTCTTTCTCGCATTGGTTGCAGTTGCCAAACAGCAAGTCGTTGCCTACACGCAAAAGTCGCAGGTCAAGCACGAGAATCGGCACATTCAGCTGGTGCGCGAATATGGCTTCCATCCGCGGACGAAGGCCTCCGTGGAGGATGGCGATGTGTTGCCACGAAAGTTTGAGCCGTTTCCGGAGGATATGTACGGCAAGCCGCTCGAGGAGATTGACACCTTTATATATGAGGAGGTAAGCGAATGCCCCCGCGCACACACACACACACACACATACTCACAACACTCCACTCATCTGCATATTAGCGTGGCAAACGAAAACGAAACAGCTACAACAAGAATAGCAACAAAATTTATTAAAATGCTGCATTTGGCCCATTGCCATTTCCATAGCCTTTAATTAATAACTCAAACAAACAAACAAACTCAAACACACACACACAGACACACATACACACACGTACACAGGGCAAACCCAAACCGTTTCAATGCGCCTATTCATAGTGTGCAGCAAGTGGCACAAGCGGAAATGGAACGCGCTGTCGTCGCCATTGTTGTTGTGCAAAAGTGCAAAATGCAACGACTTAATGAAAATGAATGCACTTTTTGATGCCAAAATTGAAAAAAGTAGCAGCATAAAAAATACTGAGGTTAATGTAAATGCAAAACGGCTAGAGCAGCCCTCGTGGGGCCGCCACTTGAGTAAGCGCCACGGATATCAGCATAATGTGCCACAAAAAAGGGCAAATAAAGTGAGAGTAAATTTAGCAACAGCTAAAGTAAAGAAACACAAATACAAGTACACACACACACACACGCAAACACATGTACATATACAAACAGGAAATGGGTCAGGCAGAGAGTTTGCCTTAAAAATGGCCGAGCAGCAATGTGACAACAGTTTTTTTTACGTGACTGCTAACTTAAACAAACTGCCAACGGCCGACAGGTGGAGCCAACAGCTATACAGCAGCCCAGCCAGGCAGGCAGCAGGCAAGCCAACGAGCCGGACAAATTATAGGTGAACATGCAAGTTTACTCAAGACTTGGCGGCATTCCATAAAAAAAAAACACACACACACACACGTAAACGTGTTCTGGCCAAATAATTCCACTGGCCTGAGTTGGGCCGTAGCGTAAACATGCATTCAAATGGCCATCAGGGCTGGCGTAAGTGTAACGTAATGTTGCCAGACATTTGAGCGCAAGCACGCATGGCAACGCCAAGGCATTTGTGCTTGTGTGTGTGCAACAGGGGAACGGAAAATCAAAGTGCTTAATGGCATTTAATGGCACACTTTAAGCTGGCCAAAAGCAAGAGCAAACATCTGCAGTGGCATGTGATAAGAGACCAGCAGCATGTTTGCCAAGATGTACACAATCTAAGAACATACATCACCCCTCCCTCTCACTTCATACACTTTATCTGGTTACAAGTGCTAACACAATTTTTCATTTTGCGCACACGCTTTTTCTTAAGCTCACACACACACACACACTTGCATACAGCTGCCCAGAGCATGCAAATTTACAGAGCACGCATACACATACACACACGCACACACCACAGCTAGTTGGGGGGGCCATAGAACGAACAAACTGCCGCCCCCAATCGTAATTTCTGCTTGGTACATTAAAATTTCTGCTTACACGGCTCAACGGTAAACGACCTTGGGGACCGGGCAGAGCATTTGATTATCCTCAGCACACTTAATTGAAGAAATCAGCGCTAATGAACCTGCCATTCCTGCCCAAAACCCAAGACGGGCTAACAGGCAATGCCAATCAGAATGTTTTGCTAACAAATCAATAGACGCTTCCGCCGTCGGACATTGCTGATGGACCTTGCCCAGCTGATCACCGGCTGGGTGTTTTCCATTTGTCTTTTGCTCACCTTTTTTTCCCTGCCCCCCATCTTTATTCAGCGTAGCGCCGTTGCCCTTGTCCTGTTAGCAGAAATTTTTAACAAAAAGGTCCAAATGAGGTTTTTGGTAAAATCCAACCAAAACTATGGATATCCCGGCAGTGTTTTTGTACTTAATCTAAATACAATAATATTGGCATTGTGGGCCGACTCCAGAAACTTCCTCGCACCGTTGCAGATGACACTCACGCTTCCACACTTCAGTTCCAAACATATACAAGCGAGAGTCGACCCGCACATGTGTACATATATTTGGTTATGTTGAAAAAGCACGTTCTAAATACTTTAAAACTGATTCCGTTTTCGACCAATATTAACACAAAAATTTTGTTTTTTGTTTTTGTGGAACGTTTTTAAACCAGCAATTTATTTAAGTTTTCTCAAATGGAAATTTCAAAGTGAATTTTAGTAAGCACATTTATTTTTCTGGTTGTCGAAAACCAAATTTGCAAATTACTTCGGGCTTCATATTGCCCAGTCGGTATTTTTCATTTTTGTACGTCAGAAGTTCCTGAAATGGCAGAAAACAAAAACAGAATATCAGTATCACATGAGAGCTAAGAAAGTAAAGCAGTAAATGGAGCGCTAGCGCTCCGCCGGCCGCCGACAAACGGTACTCACCACGAAAATGGTCGATAGCGGAATGGCAGGTTTACTTAGACCTTGCACGCATCTTCCTGCGCTTACGCTTCAACCTACGCATACGCTTCTTACGCCACTGTAAATACACAAGAGTACACAATCAATATAGCAATTACTTTTTAAATATTTAATACACTATTTTTTTCTTCACTGGGAGAAAATTCGAAATTTTACCTTAGCTCTCATTTTCCTTCTGCTTACGAAGACGGCCTGAGAACGAAAGAACGACGGTCGAACGGAAATCTAGCTGGCAGCTTCGCGTGGCTCGACTTTGACAGTTCACAAGTTATCGATAGGTCGCATGACATTTGCTTAACATTAAACATTTCTATTTCGAAGCGAGCAATTCTGTTAATTGAGGAGCAGCACTGTTAACTGGTGCTGCCAGCGATAAAATGTTAAAATCAACCCTAATATGGCGCCAATATCAACTTTTTCTTCACAGACATTTTGTGTGGTGTCGAAGCGTTTCCGAAAGAATTATATACATCGTTTTACTGGCACCAAAAGCCTATTCCTCTTCCATCCATGGAGCCCATGGCGACGAGTCTGTGTCTATATAGCAACAAATCAATTCTTCGACTACTGTGTAATGGCAACTATACTGTTTAACTGTATATTCCTAGCCATGACAGAGACTGTGGAGGAAGCGGAGTAAGTAGTCAGCTTTCGTTGATGATTTGTAACTGGTTAACACTCGTTGATCGATACTACTTTTAAATTTGCAGATATATCTTCCTGGCCATTTACTCAATTGAAATGGTTATCAAAATCATTGCCAAAGGCTTTTTGCTCAACAAATACACCTATTTGCGTAATCCATGGAATTGGCTGGATTTTGTTGTCATCACTAGTGGCTACGCGACCATCGGCATGGAAGTGGGAAATCTGGCCGGGCTGCGAACATTTCGTGTGCTCCGCGCACTTAAAACGGTATCCATTATGCCGGGCCTGAAAACGATTATCAATGCACTGTTACATTCGTTTCGCCAATTGGCAGAGGTCATGACCTTGACCATCTTTTGCCTGATGGTCTTTGCGCTGTTCGCCTTGCAGGTTTACATGGGCGAATTGCGCAACAAGTGCGTGCGAAATGTGCCCACAGATTGGACGAATATATCGCATCTGGATTGGAAAATGTAAGTGGAGAAATAGCCTTAGATCTGATAATGTCACAAGTGTGAACATAAAGAAGTTAGTTTTATTTGAATGCAGTTTTTGCCATTTTATAAGCCATTCAATTCTGTTATACAAATGTACGTCTGTATAACATTGCTTACAGCAATGATAGAAACCGTTATACATGTATGTAAGTGGCAGATCAGAGCAAAATGTTATGTTATACGCATTACATAACATGAATAACGGTTTATCTGTTTGATGGTATATGTTAAGAGCATATGTACATATATTCATACAGTTAACCATATGTTAATCCTCTTTTCCAGCTGGGTAAATGACACGGACAATTGGCTGTACGATGAGGACGAGATGCCGACGTTATGTGGCAATCTGACAGGCGCTCGTCATTGTCCGATGGGCTATATGTGCATCTGTGTTGGCGATAATCCCAATCATGGCTATACGAATTTCGACAACTTTATGTGGTCCATGCTGACAACGTTTCAATTGATTACGTTGGACTATTGGGAGAATGTATACAATATGGTAAGGCAACTCTTGAATTCTTCAGCTATTCATCTAGTCTCACGTATGCTCTGTCTCGCTCTCTCATAGGTTCTAGCTACGTGTGGTCCAATGAGCGTTACATTTTTTACAGTGGTTGTGTTTTTTGGCTCTTTCTATTTAATCAATTTGATGCTGGCTGTTGTGGCCTTGAGCTACGAGGAGGAGGCGGAAATTACAAATGAGGTAAGTTATCCATAATCGAAGAAAGAGCTCTGCTAAACCCTCTCTTACTCTTTCAGGAGCGCAAAAAGGATTTACTGGATCATCGAGATGATTCCACTTTTAGCTTTGATCCTTCAGTGCTGAATGTCAAGAAGCTCAATAAAAACAATAAGAAGAAAATTGATTCACGCAAAGGCGTGCTGCTCGCCTCCTACAGCAAAAAGAAGACGCGGCGAAAAAAGGGAAAAGCAGGCAAAGACAATATCAGCATTGGCAATGGCAACGGCAATGGCAATGGCAATGATCATGGCAATGGTAATGGTAATGGCAATGGCAGCAATGGCAATGATCATGAGCGATCTAAAGTGCACTCGGCTACGCCGAGTCCAGGACGGAGTCCGCGGCACAGCACCACGGATCGTCCTTCGGCTTTGGCGCTGCAAGCACAGCAGCAATACCAGCAAATGGAGCAACAGCAGAAGCAGCAGCAGCAACAGAAACAGCTTGTTCAAAGCGAAGCAGCTGCAACATCGCAGCAGCGAACACGCATCAGCTTTAGAGAGGGTAGCGTTAAGAATCCCAATATGCTGTATCCCTCTGACTATAAGGGCCAGCTAATCACAAGCAGCCGCCAGACGAGTTCCAATTCAAGTGGAGGCGTCAATCGGGAATCCTCTCAAGATGATTCGGGCGTGGTGGACGATCACGACGAACAGGAAACGGGCAACGAAATGGGTCATGTCTCTACAGTGGAGCTGGCTCTATCGCCACGCGAGGTGCGCCTAATCAAATGCAATGGCAACATAGCGCGCATTAAGAATCACAATGTCTATGCGCTGCATCAGGAATTCTCCTCCGAAGTGGTCGTCATTGGTTAGACAACAACTGAATCTATATCATTTTAAATTATATATTAAAGTTTATGCTCCTTTCAGATGATCTGCCTGATCGCAATTGTGATCGCTGCGTGCACTGCTGCGCGGATTACGAGAGCTGGCTGCAATTCCAGAATTGCCTTTATAAGGTGGTGCGTGATCCGCTCTTCGAGCTGGCTATTACGCTGTGCATTGTGCTAAACACCGCATTTCTGGCCATGGAACATCATGGCATGAGCGAAAGCTTTCGCAATGCCTTAGATGTGGGCAACAAGGTGGATATAAATAAAGCTAGCTAAATCTGATAAAACATCTTATTAAATTCCTTACTTTCCAGGTGTTCACATCCATTTTCACCTTCGAGTGCATTGTGAAGCTAATGGCTCTATCCAAAGAGTTCTTTCTATGTGGTTGGAACATCTTTGATTTGATTATTGTCACTGCCAGCCTGCTTGATATCATTTTCGAGCTAGTTGATGGTCTGAGTGTGCTGCGCGGTCTACGCTTGGTAAGAAAACTTTTGGCATAGAGTGATAGAAGCTTAATAACTCCTTCGACTTCTATTACAGTTGCGTGTACTGAAACTTGCGCAGTCTTGGACGACGATGAAGGTGCTGTTGAGCATCATTATATCGACAATTGGTGCGCTCGGCAACCTCACGTTGATCCTTGTTATAGTCATCTATATATTCGCTGTGATTGGCATGCAATTGTTTTCCAAAGATTATACACCCGAAAAGTTTGATCCTGATCCGGTGCCCAGGTAAGATTGCTTCTATATATCCATATATAAATGTGTGTAATAAAGTTTTTCTTTTACAGATGGAACTTCAATGACTTCTTCCACTCTTTCATGATGATCTTTCGCATTTTGTGTGGCGAATGGATTGAACCACTATGGGATTGTATGCGTGCCGAAGAGGAGGTTGGATTTATTTTATAGTTATATATAAATGTACATATGCTATATACAATATTTTTGCCATTACAGCAAGGTGCTTCCACATGCTTTGCCATCTTCTTACCCACTTTGGTGATGGGAAATTTTATGGTTTTAAATTTGTTCTTGGCTCTGTTGCTCAACAGCTTCAATTCCGAGGAGCTGAAATCTAAGAAAGAGGCAAGTCCAATGCGTTTTCCACTTGGAAAGAGAAATGCTTTTCATATCTATTGTTATGTGGAATGTCTAAATGTCTATCCGTTAAATGTGTATGTGTGTGTGTGCCACTTAAACAAAAAAGGAAAACCCTTAAGCTAAAAACCGAACCGAGTCTTGAGCACAAGCGGAAAGCTTGTCACTAAAATCCTAACGATAAAACCAAATACTTATATATAACCTATATATCTCTAAATATCTACTCTATATATCTACATCTATATGGTGTTTGTCTTGCACTTTGTATGCGTGTCGTTTGAGTGTGATTCGTGTGTAACTAGATTAACTAGATTAAGTATCTAATACCACATTCCACACAAAATGCATTAAAAAAATACATTTGATGCCCAATTGAATTATACACTGAAACAGAAAGAAAAGCACTTTTTACTCGAAAAAGGTGTAATATACACGGAAATCAAATTATTTAAATTCTCATCTCCACTCAAACACCGAAACTATCGTTGAAATTGTTAATGCATTAATTTTTATATTTTATCTAAATATTGTTTATTCAATTTCGGCTTTGTACGAAATTTCATAATTTCGTTGTTGGTATATCATTTAAACGTATGTCTATTGCATTTCCTATGATAAAAACCCTGTCTAAGTCTCAGTGTCTTAAGTCTTAATATAATAATCTTTTCATATGCACTAAAAATTTAATTGTATTAACTAAAAAACTAAAACTCTGTTCGTCAACTTTTGCACAATGCGTTGAAAACTTTTTAATACTAAAACACAAACACACAAAATACACCTAAAAAATACCAAAATAATAACCCAATATTTAAAACCACACACAAAAAACCGTTAAACAGATTTTCAAGAAAAAGGTAATTTTTTCAAACTCAAACTTTAAAAATCCTACTTAAACAAATTGTTTGCTATTTTTATTTTATTTACAAATCTAAAAGTGAACAAAAAACGCCTGTACATAAAACCAATTATTAATTGTATTTGTTACAAAAAAAAAAAAATGCAACTAATGTTCTTTTTGTGTTTCTAAGTGTTTAGCTTTTTGGCTGTTAGATTGTAAATTGTTGCATTGGACTAACTAATTCTATATATATATATGTGTAAATTAAAAAAACAAAACAAAAATGATTATTAGTAGTGTAATCTTTAGTTGTGCATACCCCATCTGTAAAGCAATTAAAGCTAATGCCAATTCTTTGCTTCGTATAGGAGGTGGGCGAGGAGTCCAAGCTGGCTCGCAGCATAGAACGCGTGCGTGATTTGATAAGAAAGAAGCGGCAGGAGCGCAAGGATCGTAAGGAGCGTAAATTTGCAGAAAAGTTTCAGCAAATCGTGCTCGAGGCACAGCAGCAGGCGCACTCTGGAACGGTGGCAGTGAGAGAAATTGATAAGCCAGGTCTGCTGGAGGAAACAAAATTTCATAGATTAAGCTATCAGGTGAGTGGTGCTGAAATAGCCAAAGGGAGAAGTTTAGTTTATACAGTTATCTCATTGCCCACAGGAATCTATGAATCGTCCCGTTTCCGGCTCCGATTTTGGCTTTCAAATTCCACTCAACGATGGCCTGCACACCATAGTCGATGGCCTGGAATATGATGAGGAGCCAGCAGCACAGCATCAGCAGCAACCTGTAGCTGATTCCCTGCCACCCACATATGAGTGCGCCATGCTGCACGCCTCGAGCAATGGCGTTGCCTCCAATCTAACGCCCGTGGCGGCTGCTGATCGCAGCCGATTACAGCATCAAATCTCCTCGGGCGTGGGCACACAACAGAATGATTCGCTGCAGAACGATTCGGCGACATATACGGAATCCATTGAGCTGCGTCTGCTGGGCCAATACAATTCCACAGATACAGATCCGTACGCCTATGCAGCGGATCAGCGCAGCGGCTCGCTGCAAGACACCGACGAAGCCTTCATCAAGTATCAGAAATCGCTGCTAACACGTTCGCCTAGCTATCGCAAATCCCTCGATCGTCTATCCCAATCCAGCGGGCAGTCGCAACGCTCTCTGTTGCCCTCGCGCAGTCTCAAATCCGAGGAGAGTGCCATGCGAAGACACTCCAGTGGGCACTCGCTCAACTCCATTTCACTGGAGCAGGATGAGCTGCTGTCACAGCAGGCGAATTTGCGCGAGGAGCTGCTCAATTGCGATCAGAAGGAATTGTTTCAGTTTCTGCAAGAGGACGAAGAGCTCTTGGGCAAGAAGAAGCCCACGACGACAAGCAGCATCAAGTCGAATCTTAGCTATATCTCCAATTCCATAATGCAAACCCTGGACTCGAGGCACAGTGGCAGCCATTCCAATGGCCAGCAGGAAAGCGAGCCGCTGATGGAACAGCACTCTGAATTTGACAATATCATACAGAGTTTCGAAAAAGAATTGGAAGAGATTAAGCGCTCGACTAGCTCGCTGGAGAGAAAGATTTCAACACTCTCCGAGCCTTCGCCTGCAGCGGATGAAGCAACCAAAGCGATCATGGATCACATAGCGATCATAACTGGCGCCTCGGAACGCACAGCTGCCGATGAGGTAGTGCATCCATTGAATCCCTACGATAGCTACGATCTGTCCACTGTGCCCCGACGCTCTCAATCTGTCAGCGCTGCCGCCCAGCGACAATCCGTAAAGCTCAAACGGCGTAGCTTAGAGAAGCAGCGCAAGATCGACGAAGACTTTAGCATATCGAATGAAATACGCAAAATCTGTGATCAAATACACGCCCCCTTTGCCGCAATGGAGGCGCTGGCTGTAGCGGCGACCAGCGGCAGCCATCAATCCGGCAGCCAGTCGCCCTTCATGAGACGGAAGAACGATCCATTTAGCGTGCAGTTCGATCGATTCAAGCGGCTGTCGCTGATTGAGCGCGTCGAGGAGCTGCCCGAGGAGGATAAGCCCATATCGACGCTGCGCATTGAATCGGAGAAGATGCCGCGCAAGTTTCTTAACAGCGACAAACTGCGCATGGACAGCCTCTCGCTGAAGAGCACCAATTCGTATGAGAACCTACTGATACAGAAGCAAATGTGTAGGGATGCTGCCAAGCAGCCAGCCACGCCGCCCACGTCTTTGAAATCGAGCATTGAGCCGCCGACACTGGCGCAAATTTCATCGCTGAAAGCAACACCGCCGCTGGCTGCTTTGACTGAGCACCAGCAGCACTATCATGCGACAAGCATACAGCAAACCACAACGCAAGCTGCCACAGCAGTAACAGCAACAGCAGCAACAACAACAAAGGCTGCGAGCACGGCTGTGAGTAGTAAACAACGCCGTGCCGAGCATCCACAATCGACATTAGACAAAGCCGCTTCCTTTCAATCGGCACGCACCGAGTCGCACAGCTCCGGCACAGCTTCACATTTAGCTCTGCCCGGAATGGGCAGCAGCAACAACACCAACAATCGCCAGCAAGAGTTGCTTAGAGCTTCGAGCAGCGAGAAGACTGAGCCGTCGTTAAGCAAACCATCGACGTTTGCACGACTCACCGAAAAACCATGGCATTGTCTGGTATCCTACGTAGACGATCTCACTGTCGGTGGGAGACGTAACTCGCAGGGCGCCTACAATGATCCCATGACTTTTCCAAGCTTTGGCCAGGCAAAGCCGCCAAAAGTGCCAGACGATTGTTTTCCACAAAAGTGCTACGAGCAGTGAGTGATCGTGACACCATATATGTATATCAGCTATATCTCATGTGTTTTTGTTTTCCAGCCTGTATTTCCGTTGCCCCTGGTTCATGTCCTGCATGGATACGCCGAGTGCCAAGCATTGGACACGCGTGCGTACGGCTGTCTTGACGGTTGTCGATACTCCAGCCTTTGAGTGGTTTGTGCTAGTGTTGATCTTTGCGTCTAGTATTACGCTCTGCTTCGAGGATATCTATTTGGATAGCAATAAGACTTTAAAGCGTGTGCTCTATTGGACCAATTTCTCCTTCTGTCTCATCTTCGTCGTGGAAATGGTGCTCAAGTGGTTGGCTTTGGGATTTTCCAAATATTTCACCAGCTTTTGGACTATACTCGACTTCATTATAGTTTTTGTAAGATCTCTAGTGATAGACTATGTACATGTATATATATATTTGTATGTATTTATTTGCTTTTCAGGTTTCGGTTTTCTCGCTACTCATTGAAGAGAATGAGAATCTTAAGGTTCTGCGTTCTTTGCGCACTCTGCGCGCGTTACGTCCGCTGAGAGCCATCTCTAGGTAAGTGGCCGACCGAGTTTCTCTAGGCTTAGGTTGCACCTAACTAACTGCTGAATCTGTGAAAAAGGGAATCAATTCTCTATCTAATGCTAATCCAAGTGTAAGCTCTCTATCTCTACGTAGGTTTCTACTTTCTTATAACTCTTATTTCTTTTAAAACTCAAATCAAATTGAATCAAATCGAAATCAGCGCCAAATGAGCTGTGCAGTGTTTAATACAATCTCGTCTTCTTTATGAATTTCGAATAGAAATCTATTTTTGTAGTACATATCTCCATAACTCCATATATCCATAATGTACATAGTCAACGACTCGTATAGTATCGATACTATCCTTTGTATATAAGCAGTCAACACTTGTAATATATATACGAATACTCAATATATTTTGTGTAGTTCTTTTAGCAGATGAGAAAAGCACATTCCTTATATTATAATTCGGCCTTTAACTGTATTTTGTAGCTGTATCCCCTCCCCAAAAAGAAATTATCCCATCCGTAACAGATTTTTTAGCGTTTCATAAAACATTTCTATTCCAGGTGGCAAGGAATGCGGATTGTAGTAAATGCTCTCATGTATGCAATACCATCAATTTTCAATGTACTTTTGGTTTGTTTAGTTTTTTGGTTAATTTTCTCAATAATGGGTGTACAATTCTTTGGTGGTAAATTTTTCAAATGCGTCAATGAGTTGGGCGAATTGCTGCCGATTACTGTAAGTATGCCAAAACCCAGATCAGGATCTGTAATTATATCTTCCTCTGCATATACATAGATCGGAAGTTTGATATAATATATTTTCCTTTGGCTCTCCTTGTAGGAGGTCAACGATAAATGGGATTGCATTGAGCAAAACTATACGTGGATCAATTCGAAGATCACCTTTGATCATGTCGGCATGGGCTATTTGGCTCTACTGCAGGTGGCCACCTTTGAGGGCTGGATGGAGGTGATGGCGGATGCTGTGGATGCGCGCGGCGTCGATTTGCAACCTCAGCGCGAGGCCAATTTATATGCGTATATTTATTTTGTTATCTTTATTGTGTGCGGATCGTTCTTTACACTCAATCTATTCATTGGAGTTATCATTGATAATTTCAATATGCTCAAGAAGAAGGTAAGCCATATGGCCTAAGCTCTTAACCAGACTAATCAATACTCTCAATTGTTCAACAACTGTATATATTATAAATATAAAAACAACTCTAAACAACAATTCCCTTAACTACCCTTAACAAAAAAGAAAAAAAAAAAATCACTTGAAATGTATAAAACAATCGATGTATAAACCCTGATTTCCCTCTGTTCATTCAGTTATCGGTGTTCAATAACTAGTGTGTGTATTGGTGTTGATTTTCTTACATTGTTTTTATTGATATAACAATATATGTGTGTATTGTATGTATTGTATATATAAATAAATGTTCATTCTATTCTCATCACTTTTATATAGTATGAAGGAGGAGTGTTGGAAATGTTTCTCACCGAATCTCAAAAACATTATTACACCGCTATGAAAAAATTGGGACGAAAGAAACCACAGAAAGTTATTAAGCGACCTATAAATCATTTTTTAGCTATGTTTTATGATTTATCCAATTCGAGAAGGTAAACAAAACCAAAAAGTTTTCTGCAAAAACCCACAAACAATTATTTTTGCTTAACCTATACTTCTATGTAAATTGAAAATATATAGTTTTAATTATATACTATAACTGTTAGCTCTATAAACATAATACTCTACTGCTGGTTAGGCATCGATCTAGAGCATTCTCTCTCTGTCTCTGTCTCTCTTTCTCTCTCTCTCTCTAAATATATATCTATATAATTATGATTTGGTGATAAAATCCATTTGAACACTTCACATTCTCCGCATTTGATGATGTTTCGCTGGCTGTTTTGTTGGCTGCTTCTTTAGCGCAACCCGAAGAAGTCGCCCAAACGCCTATAAGCCATAATGCAACTACAAATCTTTTCCAATCCGATATGTTTATAGATGTTTTAGAGCACTACTACTACTACTACTACTATACGTATATCTTAATATAAATAGATGTTTCCTAATGCATTCGAAAAATGAATTCTAAACGCACTCTGTGAAGTGTGGGCATGCACTCTGTAAAGTAAAGTAAATAGTTGACAGAGTTAGTGATTGGGGGTTGATTTAATCTTTGTAACTACATATTATTATACTACAAAATAAATAATATCGAAAAGCATGAGTATAAACATAGAACTAGTCCTTAGTCGTATGCTACTCAAATATCTGTATATATATGTTTTGATAGTTGATGTTCTTTGAGCAGCATCTGCACTTCGGCACGCACGAAGTCTGTGTCTCTCTCATTTGTTCGAAAACTCTTTACTTAATTAATATCTGTTTGTAATTTCATATGTATGTATACGATTGAATCGGCATCGATCATATATGCAGATTCGAAATAGCGATCTTTGTACTGATTTTTCTAAATATGCTTACAATGGGCATTGAGCACTACGATCAGCCCCATGCTGTGTTCTTTATACTAGAAGTGAGCAATGCATTTTTCACCACGGTCTTTGGACTAGGTAAGTGCCCGTAACTAGGCAAAAGCCTATACGAACTGATAGTTTATAGTTTATATATTATACCTATCTCATATCAACTCTTATACTCACACTTATACGACACTCAATGCTTCACAGAGGCCATAGTCAAGATTGTGGGTCTGCGCTATCATTACTTCACGGTGCCTTGGAATGTCTTTGACTTCCTGCTGGTGTTGGCCTCCATCTTTGGCATACTCATGGAAGACATCATGATTGATTTGCCCATCAGTCCGACGCTGTTGCGTGTGGTGCGCGTCTTTCGCATTGGCCGCATCCTGCGTCTCATCAAGGCGGCCAAAGGCATACGCAAGCTCCTATTTGCTTTGGTCGTCTCGCTGCCCGCCCTCTTCAACATTGGCGCCCTGCTCGGCCTCATCACATTCATCTATGCCATATTGGGCATGTCGCTGTTTGGACATGTCAAGCTGCAAGGCGCGCTGGATGACATGGTGAACTTTCAGACGTTCGGCCGTAGCATGCAATTGCTGTTCCGTCTGATGACGTCGGCAGGCTGGAATGATGTGCTGGAGTCGCTAATGATACAGCCGCCGGATTGTGATCCGTTCTTCAATAGGCAAACGAACGGCGATTGCGGCCATCCGCTGCTGGCGATCACCTACTTTACGAGCTTCATAATAATCAGTTATATGATTGTGATTAACATGTACATTGCCATCATTCTGGAGAACTTCAATCAGGCGCATCAGGAAGAGGAGATTGGCATCGTTGAAGACGATTTGGAAATGTTTTACATACGCTGGTCCAAGTAGGTTCTCGATCTTGAGTCGGCAATGAACACGGAAACTGTCTGAATACTAAGATTAAATTTGCACTTGAATTCGTTACAGATATGATCCACATGCCACCCAATTTATACACTTCTCGCAACTGTCCGATTTTATTGCCTCACTCGATCCACCATTGGGCATCTCGAAGCCCAATAATGTCGCTTTAGTGTCATTTAATCTACCCATCTCGAAGGGTAATAAAATACACTGTCTCGACATTTTGCACGCGCTAGTTAAGCACGTGCTAGGTCATGTCGAGGAGACCGATAACTTCAAACAGTTGCAGGAACAAATGGATGTCAAGTTCAAGAAACAGTTTCCAACACGAAAAGAATTGGAAATTGTTTCATCAACACGGATCTGGAAGCGCCAGGAAAAGGCAGCAAAGACCATACAGACCGCATGGAAGGACTATTTGCGGTACTAACAGCAGCTAGCCCAAACACAATCCCTTACTATATATAATATTGATTTTCTTTATAAATCCATGGCTCATATGATTCTATACTTATTTCAGGCGCAAGAGTGAAAAGGAACGCTCCAATTCGGGCGATAGCGCTACGCAAAACTCTAGTCCAGGCGGCTGGCAATCGAAGCTCTCCGCGCTCAACTTCTTCCATCTGCAGGTGAGTCTCTGAAATATGATGGATACCTTGCTCCGCTTGACTAATCAATCCTTCTTATAGGTAAGCCGTCGTGGCACTGCCTGCTCCAGTCGCGCCTCCTCGCGCAAGTCCTCACGCGCCTCGGATGGCTCTGATCTGAGTGAACTCGCTGGGCCTTGGCTAAATTTGCCTTTGATGCTCGTCTCTGGTGCGGATGATGTAGTCAAGGATATCAAACAGCAAAGCGATGAACTGGGCAAACGGTATTTAATCTTATACTTAACACGCACACACAGATGCATATACAAATACACACACACACACACACATGTGTATATACATATATATAATATTCTATATATATATATATACCGTAAACATGATTCGAAATGCAATTTTTAGACGAAAGGCTTTCACAATCATGAACAGCAAACAGCAACAACATTGATAAAACGAAGAAATTCTAAAAAAAAAAAATTAAATTTCTTTAACGTCTTTTGTGTTCCATCAATATATATAAAAAATTGAGCCCTATTTTTAGCATATCCTCTTGTATCTCCCTAAACTATGAGTCCTTGCTCGCCGATATGGTCACAGCCGTTTTAAGAAGTGGCTCGCAGCCTAATGGCTTGAATTATTTAGGTAAAGCCAATGCTTATATCAGTTAGCTAAAACAACAACAACTACAACAACAACTATTACAATTACAATACAAACTAGCAAATATCTGTCAAAGTTTTAAGTTCTGTCTTCAAAAACTCGCCGCCACCAGCTCACTCATATATAAATACCTTTCTCTGCCGCTCTCTCTCTCTCTCTCTCTATCTCTCAATAAATATATTTATATATATAATAATATTAATAATATTTACCCAGTAACTCGTACAAGTCGACTTATCTAGCTACTTAGTTTCAACATACTCATACAGCAAAGCAAAACCAAAATCAAAACAGTTCCAAAGTCTCTCTCATTGCTGCCAATGCTAAACTCTACAACTCAAACCCAAAACTTTATGCAGTAAAAATTAATTATGAAATCATAAGAATTATGAAACGAAATTATCTAAATTTTTAATTTGTAAGTAGTTGAGCTCTCTCTTTACATAAGAAATTCTCTGAAACTCAGAAATCAAAATTCGTTTGAATGCGTAAATTTTAGTTTAGTTAAGTTTATCTGCTCAGTTGCCTAGCCGCTGCTTGCCCGATCTTTGACACGATTATCTTTAAAACGTTTATACTTTTAAATATATATTTTTTTTAATGTAGCAGCATTTATTCTATCATATACAGCCCGAAACACATGCAAAAAATTCAAAATTCGATCTATGAGAAATTGAGCAAACCAATTTGTACACACTCACACTCTCACATACCCTGTAATATAATAATGTACAGCTTATTGAATTTGCAGCTTTTTTGTACAGTTCTATGAAAAACAACTATGAATCCATAATTTCGTCAAAAAATTGCAGAGAATTTGATAAAAAAAAAAAACTATTTATCTGTATCTATTATCTATCTACAGTCTTGAGACCATATCAATATCGAAATATATAAACAAAATTTATTGGTTTATTTTCTTTGGATCATTATTATTTCTATCAATCTATAATCATTAGCGGTAGCATATTTGTGGAAGCGCCTCGAGCAACTCGTCGCCGAAGCTTTTATAATTTCTTTTTGCGTCATCAGGATGCTGTCGATGACAGCTTAACCTCACCTTCAGTACATAGAAAAAGTAATTATTGACAAGTGCCTAAACACCCAATCACTCTATATCACTATATCAATCAATCAATCAATCAATATGTTTGTGTATATATTCTCTTGTACATAGCCGCAACCATAGTCTGCACTTACAATTAATTATAAGCCAATCACGTACCATTTCAGTATATAGATCTATCATCATCATTTGACTTAAAGTCCCTAAATCTCTCTCAGTCTCGCTGTTTCTCTCTGTCCAATTTCAACTAAGTTTTTATCATTGTGATACGATTTAATCGCACATCGAACGTTGCTTTTGCCAATCAAAATCAATCATCGTTGTACAAACACACTCACAAATTTTGTTAATCATAACATACTCTATATATAAATATATATCTTAACTTTTACTAAATACCACTGAATATATTATTAGTATTTTAAGTACACTTTTTGACTATTTTCTGACTATGTACTATTGACTAAACATTCTACTGCAATAATACCAAATTCTAGACTACTATAGACTATTTACTCCATATACCGACTTCTTGATATCTACTTAAATACGAGACGCTTTACGTTTACTCCTTAATCGAATTCAAGTACCACTTCTACCACAATTACTACTAATGTTTCTATTGCTACTAATGCTAATACTACAACAGATAATTCTATTAGTACTGCTACTACTGCTACCTAGTACCTACCTACTCGACTGTTTGCATACTACTTACCTACTGATATTTATTAACCTAGCTACTGCTCGTCGACTTCTTGCCCAATACCTCAAAATGACAAACTCATACTACTTACTATTCAGCCCTACACACGACTTAAAACTTATCTACTGTCTATTTGATTACTTTTTTACTATTTACTTACAACTCACTTACTTTACCAACTTTACTTACAATTTAAATCCCGTTGATCTTTGCCCTCTTTTGTCACACGATCCTCTATGTATTATGTACTTTATTCGTATCACGATCGTTGTACACTAATGCTGTGCATTTCACCTACAACAGCAGCAATGAACACCAGCAACAACAACACAACCTCAATCTCCACATCCGGCACATCTGCCTCCGCCTCTACCTCTGCCTTCGTCTCTGCTAGCGCCTCTACCGTTGAAAGCGACAAGCAAACGCAACACCATCAACAGATGGCGCCAACTCCAACGCGTAAGCGCGCCTCTAGTTTTATACGCAAGAAACCGCCCCTAGAAAGAGGTTTGTCAGCACAAAGCGCTTTAAGAGTTAACAAGAACGCTTATGTCTGTATGTGTGAACCCCTAATCTATACCCTGGATCAACTCCACTCATGTCATTTCTCCCATTTTGACAACCTTGCAGCGGATGCCCCGGCACCGGAGGTGATTGTGACGAAACCATCGCCAGAGCAGCAAAAACATCCGCATGTCCATGCGCTCAGCCTACGGCCGGACAATGCGACGCTCGTTCATGTACTGGTGCATCGTGAGAGCGAGGAGTACAAGGAGGACGATGAATGCAGCCTCTCCTCCCCGGGCCAAGGCTCAGCAAATGGCAGTGGCCATGACAAGCCGAAACCGCCGCAAATACGCATCAACACTGGCTCAATGGAGAGCGGAATGGATGCCTGCCTAATGCCCACAGTGCAGATAATGGTCGACAGCCCAAAGGAGCCGCCTCGCGGCGACTTCAGTGCTGCCTATACACCGACTGTCGATGTGGATGCGCCCATTGATGTGAATGTACAAGGAGATACATCGCAAGTGTTTTACGAATACAATCCCGAGTCGAATGTGGATAATAGCAATGATATACAGCCCATGGATGCAAAGCTGCCGGATACCGACGATAAGCAGAGATGACCTTCAGTTAATGTGGCAGAGCCAGATAAGGAACAGAAGCAAGAGAAGCGTTCAAGCAGCAGCAGCAGCAGTAAAACGAGCAGCTGCAGCAGCATTAACAGCAACAGCAGCAGCAGCAGCACCTCATCAGCTAGCCAGTCAAATGGACAGCGTCCAAGTTGACAAACTCCAGTCTGAGAGCAATTTTCACGTGCATTTTGGAAGAGTACTTATAAATGCTTAGACCTAGGAACGGGGCAAACGTTTTTGTCCCACTTGTTATTCTAGTCGACTATATATATACACATATATATATATATAAAGTTGCTTTATAAGATACTTAGACAGAACTATCCAATGTTTACATCATTCTATACACATACATATATATTTAAGCCTTGGCAACAGTGCGCTGTGCGTCCAGCCAAGTCTAGCCTAGCCTAGTCTTAGAACTAGAATTAGCTTAGTTTTAACAAGAAAATCAATATAAACTCTGTGTTAACAAAACGTGCATTATACCGTACAAGTGCGTACACGTTGTAATACTCAAAAATCAAATCAAATAGAAAACACTAACATTAACATAAACATAAACAGTAAAACTTAACAGTAACATTAACATTATATATGATAGATGTATGTATAATTAGATACTAGTTAAAACGGTTGGATTTTCGTTATGACAGTCAGTCAGTCAGTCAAGTGGCTTTATCAGCCGATTTCGAAAGATATTTTAAAGGTTGTTTTTAATTATACAATACGAATACAAATACAAATACGATACGAAACATTCTTACATGGGTATATATACATATATATCGATATATACATACATAACTTAACAATCGCGTTGTAGACATAGGCTTAGAGTTTGTTTTTCTTCAATGCAATACATACATAAACATATATATACGTATATTGTATACTACGATATATGTATATGTATATATATATTTTGTACATATGCCAAAGGAAGTATTTTAAAGCTAATTATTAGAGAGTATTCATAGTAATATATTAAAAGAATTAGTTAGCGAGAATCGAATTGAAATATTTATGAGAAAAGAAAGAAAGAATTTCCCTACTTTTTCCCTACATTTTTGTGTTTGTTTATTTTGATTTGATAGCTTAAGCATATAGTACAAAGGAGAAGTATTAAGAATTGTAGTTTTCAATACTCTTTGCAAACTATCTCACAACTATTTCTCAGAACTCAGAAATTTCCAGATCTCAAAACTAAAAAAAAGCCAAAAATACAAATAATGTCAAGTGATTTAGAATTCCAAAAAGTAAACTAAAGCAATTTAAACAGAATCATCTAATAGCTAAGACCCAATCGGGTGTTATTACATATTCCATATGCCACATACGATATCTATGACACAGTAACACTTGTCTGATAATGTTTTCTTCTTTCTGTAACCAAAATAAGCAGCCAGTTTGAACCGCAGTCCTACCTAAGCAATGTGCATTGATACTACCTACGCTATATCGAATATATACCATTAGGGCATAAAATGATTTTATTTAGTATTTAAAAAGAAGAAAGGAATTTCTTACATATTATATGTATATATATTGAATTGTGAAATCAAAATTTGCATAAATGCTCTTCTATACAAGCTTCCACAAAATGACATTTGATATCATGTATATATATATGATATACTATACATTGAAAATATACACTATATACTATTTTATTAGGCCTAGGCCACGTTTCAAAGAAACAAAAGTGAATTATGTTTAGTTTAGCTGCATGCAATCAATCATATGTTAAGTTTTTAATGAGCCCCCTCCTACACGCGCCCACTCATCTAATATACATGTACTATATATATATATATATATATATATATATATATATCTATCTATCTATATACAACAGACAATCAGACAGACGATTGATCGTAAATTGAAATTATGGTACCAACTACAAATCGTTTTCTCCAGAACAAATAACAAATAACAAATACAAAGACGTACACACTTGTGATTTTAAACTGCAATTTTTACACAACAAAACAAAACAAAACAAAACAAAAGAAACTACAAAACTTAAGATCATAATAAACTTTTAATTAGAATTGTTAACAAATTGCTAAATAATGTTTAAGTAATAATTTATTGAATACCGAGCAGTCAGAAACCAAAAAACAAAACCAAAACCAAACACTCGTCAATTAAGTGATATTTATTAATTGGTACATTATATATGTACATATAAAAATGAAAGCAAAACCAACATATATAAAATAGAGTGTACCATCTTTCAATTTGTAAATATACATATATATGTTATATATACATATATTATTATTAAATTATATAGCAAAGCTTTAATTTTTCATTCAAATATTCGCTTAAAACTAATGTAAACCAAAACTTTCAATTCACAATTACAAAAAAGAAAAAAAAAAAACCAAAAAAAAAGAAAAGGCAACATTTGATTTAGTCATAGAATATAAAGACAATAAAACGAATGAGGCATATATTAATATTAAATATAAATTAAATAAAGACGGGCCAGAGCTTCAAGAATTCCAAAGAACCCATGAAAATAGCTAAAACACCACAACTTAGTCCAAAATATTGAACCAACCAAATATAAAACAAAAACAGTCCTATGCATTTAATATAGCAGTGGAACGAATCGTCAAACAATGCAGATACATTAAAATATATAATAAATAAAGAAATAGTGTATATATACGTACATATATATATAGTTAAAAACAATTAAGTACAGCTGGTTTGATTAGGCATGCCTTACAGTATAAACGATTTTATTTGTTGAGGTTCAAAGTAAATTTATAACACAAGTTAACGTTTCATATATATGAGAAGAAAAGAAAACCAAATATATATTCATAATAATGATTATAATTATTATATATATACATAGTAAGTTATATATATATAGGAGCATACAAATTGTTTAACACATGCTCTGCAAACAATGTCAATTATTTTTAATTTGCGTTAACAAAAACAAAATAATACAAAATAAGCATGATTATTGCAGTCGTGTATAACCGACTGTGCAATACTCGTTCATGATACGTAAAAAAGGAATAAATGCGAAATGTTGTATAAATCAAATTCAATTTAACTCTCTATGAAGAGGGGGAAAAACTTGAACCTTCTCTAGTTCAAGTTTTTCCCCCCTCTTCATAATCGTAACTATATTATTTAAATATTTACTATTGTGTTATTATATGTATATGTTATACACGGAAATTCTAATTTACGTTGCTCTAATTCGGCTGTACAATGCACAAATTCAGTATACTCCCTTTTTAGACAACATGAACGAGTATAAATAGAGAAAAAAATCATTAAGTATTAAAAGCAAACATTTTTTGTATATTAGAAACGCGTTTTAGTCCTCATTCCAAGCATAATAAAATAATATATATATATATTAAACTTAGCTTCGAATCATACTAATACATGTATTTATATATATATATATATATATGCTCAAATAGCAACAGATCGAAGATAAATTAATAACTACATATGTATATATATATATATAAATGTATGTATATATCGCTCCAAATTTTCAGCACATTTCTTAAAGGATTAATTTCAATGAATTTGATTTGCTTAGATCCGCAATGCTCATAGCCCTAGTTAAAGATATATAAATATATATTTATACATGTAAATATGTACAAATATATATATTTATATAGTGTCACATATTGAACCGAATTCATATCAAAACAAACAAAAAGAAAAAAAGAAAATTAACATTTGCAATAAAAAAAAACAATATATATGTATATATATATTATACATATGTATTTACTCGGGTACAAATTGGTACAGTAAAGACATTCGTTTATACAATATTTACTGTCTAAATATTATATAATCATTATACTTATAGAAAATGAAATACTCTCATACGTATAACTTATCAAAAGTCAAAATTTATTAACTGAAAAAGAAAAACATAAAAATGAACATGAACTTTTAAAACTGAAAACATATAAGACAATGCGACAGGAAAAGAGGAGAATATTGAATAGACACAAAAGTTGACCACGGTTCAAGGTGGATGTGAACAATGTTAAGAGCAAAACATATAGTCTATATATAAATAAAAAATTAACAAACAACTTGTTGATAACAGTATAAATAGCAGAACAAATTGTTTTCAGTTCAGAAGGCTCCAAATGCATATACACATATGTATATGTATGTATGGAGCAGATCGTAACTATTAAATAATAGTGATTATTTCCATTCGGTTAATAACTCTTAAGGGTTTTTGTTAAATTTCATTATATTTATATATTCATATGTTAATAAAAATAATTTCCAAACTACAAAATAACAGCCAAGTGGAGGGAGCAGGACGCAGCTAACTGGCAGGAGGCGAGTGTGATAATGTATGTATACGAGGGTAGTCAATTATTAAACTTAAACTTATATTTTATTTGATTTATTTTTTTTTTATTTAACATTTAAATTAATTTTTGTATTATTCTAGTTTTCTTTTTAAGTTTCAACACATTTTTTAGGCCACCCTCGCTATGCACATTACTTCTGCAGCAGCTGCAGCAGCTGTTCCAGCTTCTGTTCGATATGCTGCAGACGCCTCTCGGTGTTTTGTTCCCTCTGACGCTTCTGTTCGCCGCTGGACCGCTGCTCGATGATCGCCAGGGCCTGCTTGACGGTGCGACTATCGATGCGGGAGCATTTGCCCTTGAGCATTGAGCAGCAGCAGGGCAGAAGGTTCAGGGGCGGATCGAGCAGTTTCTGTTGGCAATCTTGATTGGTGGGCACCGCCTGGAAGGTGGCATTGTTGCGCTGCCTCATCTCGGTGGGATCGACAAGTGGTATGAGCACCTTGTTGCCATCGTTGGGCAGCACCGAGATCTGGCGCAGTGCCAGATAGTTGGGATAGACGCGAATCAAGCGCTCATACGCCCAGCGGAGGGGCTTGGTGCTCATCAGGTAGCCGGTGCGTCCCTTGCGATCCATTAACACCTGCTCGTAGCGCAGCAGCGTATTGGAGCGGCAAATGGCGCCGTTCAGCTCCGCCTGGGCTTTGATGGCCTAGCGAGCAGGAATGGGAATAATAATTAGTGTAAAGTGAGTAAAGAAAGCGTTTAGTCGAAGCTGGGCTTACCTGAGTATCGGAGACGGCCAGGCCATTGAGCAGATTGAACAGCACGATGGTCATGAATAAGACGAAGAGCAGGAAGATGAAGTAGGTGGGCACGCTGTCGAATTTGATGCTGCTGGCGTCGAACTCGCCCGTCAACATGACTATGGTCTTGATCACGGCCTCGATGGGCTTCGAGAAGCTATTGAAGCCATTATCCTCCTGGGCTCCAGGCTGCGGCGGCTGCTCCTGCTGTTCCTGCGGCTTTCCGAACAGTATGTAGAAGCACAAGCTGAAGGTCACCACAAAGATGGAGTAGAGGCCAAAGCTCTTGATGAAGCTGCTCGAGACAGCACGTAGCATGAGCATGTGCGTCGATATCGACAATACGGGCAGCGAGCCAACAAGCAAGCAGAACTCCAAGGCAACCAGCAGGATGGTGCAGACAGCAAGCACCCGCTGTGTCTCCCTATCGAAGCTCGACTCCTTGCACGTCATAATGGAGAGGACAATCAGCGCCAATTCCAGCACATTGGTAAGTGAGAAGTAGTAATTCCACTTGGGTGCCATCAGCAACTGTATCAGCTCTCTTATAATCAGATAACATATGCCCACCCACGAGAGGATGGCGAAGAGGGCCGTCAGACCCGAATGGCTGCTCTCGTGGAACTTGAGCAGCGTGTAGATGATGATGGAGCCCGTGAAGAAGGTGTAGATCACAAAATTGATGTAGAAGATGAACGAGAGGCGGTGCCATTTCAGGAAGAGGAAACTGGAGATTAGTGGATGCTGCAGCAAGGGTCGCAGCTCCTTTGACTTGGCTATGCACGCAATGGGCGTCATTTCGTCCTGCGCTGGCATGGATCGCCGCTTGAGCGGCTGCTGCTCGACATTGGGCTGCTGTCGCATTAGGTTCTTGAAGTCGATGATAATCTCAAAGTTTTGGTCGCCCGCTTTTTGGGCATTTGTCGTGATGCAGGAGTCGAAATGTTGCTCCAGCAGCTCCGGCCACATATGCTCGATGGCCAGCTCACCGAAGACGCTCTTCGAGCCGATGTAGGCGCCGTGGCTCAGCAACGTCTGCACCGCCTGCATATTGCGGTATTTGACCGCATAGTAGAGCGGCACTTGTCCGCTGGCATCCTGCTCGTTGATGTCCACCAGCGGACTATCGAGCAGCAGCTCGAAGCAGCGCGAATAATCACAGAAACTATCCAACGGCTGTTGGTCCAGCCTGCTGATCACGGCATTGAGCAGCCTGCTGTCGGGCCCCAGTTTCAGCTCCGGGTGCTGCAGCAGCTTCTCCAGTGCGCGCCAATTGCCCCAGATGATGGCCAGCTCCACAGCTGAGCTAGCCTGTCCCAATGGCTTCTGATTGACGTTGATGCCCGTCTGGAGTATCGCCTCGAAGGCGCTCTGCTTGCCCAGCTTGATGGACTCCATCAGGAGCGGCAGGTACTGCTCCTGCTGTATATTGCGCTGGTTTTCCTGGTCACTGATGTTCAGCTTATGCTCAGCGAGTAGCTGCTCGAATTGGGACTCATCGTCATCCCGCAGTTGCCGCAGCAATCTCTCCAAGTCAATCTCTCCATCGTCGTTCACCGATCGCTGCGGCGGCAGCTGAAGCTCTGGATACTGCGCCGCCAACATTTGACGCACTTCGCCATTGCGATAGGTATCGATGTCCAGGCTGGGCTGCTGCAAGAAGAGCTTCACCAGCTCCTGCTTGGCAGGAGCCGGTATCCTATTGTTGCGCAGCACCAAATGCAGCGGCGTCTGCTCGCCCTGGTCCACCACATTGGGCGAGGCTCCGTAATCGAGCAGCTGCTGCAT